TTAGCTTCCCCTGCTGCGACAGGCGTAGGACTGCCTAGGTTGCCTAGTCTAGTCGCTGCACCGGCTCCGTCCCCGGCCCCCGCCACTGCGTCGCTGTCCTTCACTCTCGACTCTGGTGCTTCTGCCTGCTTCTTCCGCGACCGTTCCACGCTCACGCCGCTTGCTGCACCTGCTGTTGTCTCTCTCGCTGACCCCTCTGCGGGTCCGGTCGTCGCGCGCAGTTCTACGTCCCTTCCCTGTCCGGCAGTTCCCTCGGGCTCCCTTACTGGCCTCCACGTTCCCTCGTTCTCCAGGAACCTGGTTGGTGTCGGCTGTCTCCAGGACCTCGGCGTCACCACCACGTTCCCCGGGCACGAGCGGTTCGCTGTCTGTTCTGAGGCTGTCTCAGGTTCCCCCCTTGCGACGTTCCCCCGGGACCCGGTGTCCGGTCTGTTTACCCTACACACCGCTTCCCCCCCGGTTGGTGCGTCCTCCCAGGTCGCTGCAGCTTGCTCGTGTCGGTCCCTCACTCACCCCTCCCTTCTCTGGCACCACCGCTTAGGTCACCCTGCTCTCCCGCGTCTGCGTCACATGTCCCAGCACGGTCTTGTCTTAGGTCTCCCCGCGTCGCTCCCTGCCCTTCCTCCCTCGACTGCGCCACCGTGCACGCCTTGCGTTGAGGGTCGGCTCCGCCGTGCTCCTCACTCCTCCTCGCTGCGTCCTGCTACTGCCCCCCTTCAGACCCTGCACTTGGACGTTTGGGGCCCTGCCCCCGTCCCCGGACCGCGCGGTGAGCGCTACTTCCTTGTGCTTGTCGACGACTACACGCGCTACACCACGGTGTTTCCCCTGGAGCGGAAGGCCGACGGCCCGACGTTCTTCTCCCGTGGGTTGTGGCTGCGCGTCTCCACCGCGGTCTCCCCGTGTTGTGTCTCCACTCCGACCGTGGCGGCGAGTTCGCCTCTGGTCGGCTTGGACAGTTCTGTCGTGCGGAGGGCATCACCCAGTCGTACACGTTGCCGGACTCGCCACAGCAGAATGGGGTTGCTGAGCGCCGCATCGGCTTGGTCATGGAGGTCGCCCGTACCTCCATGATCCATGCCGATGCCCCCCATTTTCTGTGGCCGTTCGCTGTTCGCTACGCGGCTCACCAGCTTAACCTGTGGCCACGCTCCCAGCGGCCGCAGGTTTCGCCGACCCTCCTTTGGACCGGGTCCCCCGGTGACGCGTCTGCGTTCCACGTCTGGGGCTGCCTTGCTCACGTTCGTGCCTCTGGCACGGACAAGCTCACTGCCCGCACTGTCCCCTGTGTCTTCCTCGGTTTCCCCCTGGACTCGTCTGACTGGCTTTTCTACCACCCGCCGTCTCACCGCTTCCTCCACTCTCGTGACGTCACCTTTGATGAGTCCGTCTCCTTCTACCGCCGTTTCCCTCACCGAGGTCTCCCAGTTGCCCCCCCCCTTTTCCTTGCTCCCTCTCCCCCGGTAGCCCCTGCCCCTCTCCCGCCTCGTCCTGCCCCGTCTGGTGTCTCCCACGTCACTCCCCTCCCGTCGGTTGTCCCCGTTGAGGAGTCTGCTGACTCTGGTGGTACCCCCGGTCCGTCCTTGCCGCGTCCCCCTTCCCGTTGGTGTTCGTCCTGCGGCTTCTGGGGGTGTTCGTCCTGCGGCTTCTGGGGGTGCCGCTGGTGTTGGAGGGGGTTCTCGCTCTGGGGGTGTTGGTTCTGGGGGTGCTGCTGTTGAGTGTTCTGCCGACGGTCGTTCTGCCTCTGCTGGTCCGAGAGTTCCGGCCCAGCCGTCGTCGCCGCCGCAGCAGCCGTCGCCGCCGGTTTCCGCTCTCCGCCTGCTCGGCCTTCCCTCCCCGGACCGCGCGCCGGTGTCTCCCCCACCGCCTCCTGACCTCCCTGTCTACGGTCCTGTGTTCCCGCCGCCAGACTCGTCTCCGGCCCGTCTTCCTCCTCGTTCCCCTCCTGTGTCTCCTCCGCTGTCCCCTGACCCTACCCCTCCGTCTCACGTTTGGGCTCGCCGTCCCTCCCGTGCTCGTCCCGTCTCTCCTGTCCTGCCCACCCACCCTATGTTGCTCCGTTCCCACTCGTCTCGTCCTCCCCTCCTCCCGTCCCCTCCTCCCTCGTCCCTTGCTGTTGCACCTCCTCCGTTCTCTGACTACCTCCGTGCTGCTCGTCCCCTTGTCCCTCGGGTCCTTGCCTCTCTTGTTACCGACCCTGCTGTTCCTGTCTCGCGCCTTGACGCGCTTGTCGCTGCTGTCGCTGACTTCGCTTCTACCCGCCGCCTTGACTACGCTACCGCTCTGGTCTCTGACCCTGCCCGTCCTCTGTCCGTCGGGGGTGCTCCTGCCCTTGGCAGTGACGTCCTAGAGGACAGGCAGTACGAGCTGGCTTTCCTTTCCGAGGCTGCTCCCCATCTCTGCTCCATGCTGTTAGTCCCTGAGGGTGACCCAGACGCCTTCGACATCCCGACCCCTCGCACCTACGCTGAGGCCACCTCGGGACCTTGGGCCTCTCAGTGGATAGCTGCCATGGAGCAGGAGATGGCATCTTGGAGATCCACCGGCACTTACGTCGACGCAGTTCCCCCGCCTGGGGTGAACGTAGTCGATGGTCGGTGGCTCTTCAAGGTGAAGCGCCCCCCTGGAGAGCCGCCTGTCTTCAAGGCGCGCTACGTGGCCAGAGGTTTCAGTCAGCGCGAGGGGGTTGACTTCTTCCAGACCTTCGCCCCGACCCCGAAGATGACCACTCTTCAGGCGCTGCTACACGTAGCAGCACAGCGTGACTACGAGCTTCACTCCCTCGACTTCTCTACTGCCTTTCTTCAGGGCAGCCTACACGAGCAGGTCTACCTGCGCCGACCACAGGGCTTCACTGGTACCTTCCCTCCTGGGACCCAGTGGCTTCTCAGGCGCCCGGTCTACGGCCTGCGTCAGGCTCCCCGCGAGTGGCACGACACGCTACGTGCCACGTTAGCAGACCTGCAGTTCTTTCCGTCCTCTGCTGACCCTTCACTGTTTGTGCGTTCCGGCCAGACTCCGTTCTACATCCTTGTCTACGTAGACGACCTGGTCTTCGCTACTCCTGACAGGGACGCACTGGCCTCTGTGAAGGCTGAGCTGCTGAAGAGACACACCTGCACTGACCTTGGAGAGCTGCGTCGCTATCTTGGCCTGCAGATCTCTAGGGACAGAGCAGCACGCACCATCACTCTGACCCAGTCACACTTGGTGCGTCAGGTCCTTCAGAGGTTCGGTCTTCAGTTCTCCTCCGCACAGCCCACACCTCTACCCGTAGACCATGGGCTCTCTGCTCCCGTTCCTGAGGAGCCAGTAGAGCCCAGTGGCCCCTACGCAGAGCTGGTGGGTTGCCTCATGTACCTGATGACTTGCACTCGCCCAGATCTCGCATACCCTCTCAGCATCCTGGCTCGCTTTGTGGCTACAGGCAGACACCGACCTCAGCACTGGTCTGCCGCTAAGAGGGTTTTGCGTTATCTTGCTAGTACATCAGGCATGGGGTTAGTGCTAGGAGGACGCAGGCCAGTGGTCCTTACTGGGCACACAGACGCTTCTTGGGCAGACGACGCTGAGACGCTCAGGTCGTCGCAGGGCTACTGTTTCAGCCTTGGTTCGGGTGCTATCTCTTGGAGATCCACTCGCTCGTCGTCTGTGGCTCAGTCTAGCTGTGAGGCTGAGATCTACGCTGGTGCCATGGCGGCACAAGAGCTCCGCTGGCTGACCTTCTTGCTCACAGACTTAGGTGAGCGGCCTAGCTCTGCCCCGGTCCTGTACGCTGACAACAGGGCCATGATACTCCTGTGTCAGGAGCCTCGGCTTGAGGGCAGAGCGAAGCATATCCAGCTGCGGTACTTCCTCCTGCGCGAGCTACAGCAGCGCCGCCAGGCCCGCGTAGTTCACTTGGCCTCAGGTGCCAACACAGCTGATATCTTTACTAAGGCGCTTGCGCCTAAAGATCATCAGCGGCACTGTGTACAGCTTGGTCTTGTTCCTATAGCTGCTCCCCTGTTAGGATCCTGATTGTGTACTCTCTATTATATATGCTTGTCAGACTGGCCTTGTGGCCTTACCTCCAGTGGCTGGACTAGTAGTGCCACCCTGGCTTGCTTCAGTTTTGGTTGTATTCTTGCTGACTGGTCTCCAGACCCCTGCCTCAGTGGTTGGACTAGTAGTGCCGCCCTGAGCTGTTTGCTTCTTGTTTAGTTTCACCCCTTGTCTAGCCTAGGGGGTGTGTCAACTTATACATATTATCTATGTAGAAGTTATAGGCTAGACTGAGGTATGCTTCTAGTGAGTACAACCAACTAGTATTTGTTCTAGGTTTCCACCTCTAGTAATCATTCGTTTCTACGTTAACAGTTTTTACCTGGCCCCTGCCCGCGCACGACGGGGATCACGTCGTCAATTTCTTCTGCTAATGGTTTACGCTTTTTATGGCTGCCACTCACCCAGGAATTCATGCGCACAGTTACAAAACCTGTCATCTTGAATGTATAATTCGTGTTGGTAGAGTCGTATCCGCCACTACATTCGTTAAAAGAAATTAAAGAAAGAAAGAAAAGAAAAAACCGAGTGGGGCACTAACGGGAAATCAGGTCGAGACCAGGAAGGGTCTTGGGAATGAGGTCGTATTTCTACAAGATAGTAATCAGTACCAGCAAACCCGAAATGGACTCTGAAACGCGAAACAGTGAGGTCCGAGGGTCAAAACGCGAATTCCTGTTCGGTTTGATTTGGTACTTCGCGAAGTTTGCTTCCCTGGTACTGAACGCTCTAATGTAGAAATACGCACTAACAGCAAAATTATCGAGGTGCGACATTCCCTCCACTTCAGCACTAACAACCAAAAATCTTGGTGCACCCTGTCGAGTGCCACCCAAGGCACGTCGTCACATCATACAGTATCTACAACACGTCAGTCGTCTGATCATGCGAGATCCTGTAACTACAGTAAAGCGTAAGGCTGCGCTGGAGTTATACCCTTATGTGAAAAAGTACAAATATTTAGGACCCTTATATTACAAAGTAGCTAAAAAAAAAACCCTTACAGAAAAAGTGGCAGCAAGCGAGTACCCTTACAAGAAAAAGTACTTCGAATCCTATCCAGAGGCCTGGTGGCCACACTCCCTATGGCCTCAGGTTTCGCTGACCCTCCTATGGACCGGGTCCCCAGGTGACGCGTTTGCGTTCCACGTCTAGGGCTGCCTCGCTCACGTTCTTGCGTCTAACGTGGACAAGCTCACTGCTCGCACCGTCCTTTGTGTCTTCTTTGGCTTCCCCCTTCGCGTCTGACTGCCACTTTTACCACGCGCCGTCTCATCGCTTCGTTCACTCGTGCGACATCACCTTTTACACTGCTTTTAAACACTTTAGCGCAAGGGCACACTTATCCGAGTATGTCCTGTACAATTTTACTATTAAAATAGGGGTATTCAAACCTACGTGAGAAAAACTCCGCCTTGCTAGCATTGACGAGTAACAAGCGAGCACAAACCACCACAGCCACAGTCTGAAGCTCATCTTTGCCGTGACAACAAGTGTCCTAGAGTACCACAAAATCAGATGAGAAAGAAAACAGGCTGTGGTCAGAGCATTGGAGGTCAATTCTACAGCTCGTGTCAAACTCGAAGTCAGGCAAATCTGATGGTCCGTGTCAGACCTTCCTAGTGATTGAAGACCCAAGGCTAGATGGCCTCGAGACTGACACGAGCTACGGAATCTACTCTGACTGACTTCCAATTACAGTGCAGCTTGCAAGCCTTCAGCCGTCACACATTGTAAGGAGGGACGTTGTCCTTGGCTGCCTGCACTGCGGGCGCTGCTGCTTCCAAGCTAGCCTTGAGGACCGCACGCTTGAACAGGCGGACGTTGTAGTACCAGTAGAGTGCGATGTAGGTGAACGACGCCAAATACGCCATGGCAGAGGCTCCGCGAACCTTTCCGAGCTCCGACTCAGGGTCGTAGTAGCCATATGGCCAACCGCTCCATAGACTGTTTCATTAAGGGGCATCAAGGGGAAGGATAAAGGCAAATGCCGGCTTGGAAAATCACTCGGAACAAGATTCATGTGCGTCACGACCATGTGCCTTCTTTCCCCTATTCGTTCCTGGCTGACTTGTAGTATGCGAGTTGAAGTTGGTCTCAAGAACAAATTGGACGTTTAACAGGTGGGAAGTTGAGATGTTACTGTACCTATAGCGAAAGCGGAGCATACCTTGCCGTTGTAGTGGCGGTCCACCACAAGCTACTCGCAGCTGCAGCTGACGTGGCGGCTGCGAAGAGTAAAATTGACATAATCTGTGCAGTAACGATGTGAATGAGACATAGGGAGGTGTAAATCACATATATTAGAGAACGGAACTGGTAAATAACGGACAAAACCAGAAAATCGTAAAGCTTTGACGCACCTCAAAGCATAGATTAGCAATCAGAACGGCCGGCAATAATAGTAGTAAAATAATTATATTAAAAAATCGATGAAATCGTATAGATTTCACTTACGTAAGTCTCAAAGAGCTGAGTGAGGTCCATTTTGGCGTCGTAGACCTCCGAGCCCGCGACAAAGATGCGCACGACGTTGTAGATGATGAACAGTATGGCGAATATGAACCCGAGGATCGTCATTGCCACCAGGTACGCTCCCGCGCCGTACACCGTCACCCCCCCTTTGACAGCGAAGCACAGACTGCGACATAGGGCGGAAGAGCAGCAGAAGGCATGGAGTCAGTAGTAGTGAGAGTGAGACCGTGATCAGAATAAAAGGGGGAAATGCTTGATTTTCATTAACTGGAAGGTGAGGCGTCGCACACCTGAACGAGATGAGGCACCATAGAAAGATTCCGATGCGAAGGCTGAGAGGGAGCCACGTGTACAGCGCTGATCGCTTGTTGTTCGCGCAGCACCCGTCCGGAGTGCCCGCGGGCGCTGGCACTGCCGCGGCGTATGGGGGAGGCGGAGCGACGTACGCTCCCGCTGGTGCCATGTTCTGCATGTTCGGAGCTTGCTGCTGCGCCATTTCGGCTTGAAGTCGCGGCCTCTAATAAAGTTGTCAATCGAGGATGTCCCGAAATCGAATGATTTCTTGAGGAGTTTCTTATGCGAGAGGTGAACGGCGAGAGATGTGCAGGTTTGGCGCGACGAACTAGAGATGCACTAGAGAAGAGACGCACTAGAGCTACACCGTTAATGGAAGAAATATGAATGATGGGGAGCTGGAGTCAAGGGTGCAAGAAATATGGCGAGTAAATATGCGAGATTCTGGAGTTGTGAGGAGTTGAGGTGAGGAGTGACGGAACGGCGGGAAAATTTATATTGAATTGTTGGCGTTGGGGGGAGAGGAGGTGGGGGGGAGGGGAGGAGGGAGAGTGGGTGGAGGGAGGGGAACGAGTGCTCGTCGCGGTGGAGCAGGGGAACGTGGTCAAGCGCTGACATGGCGCGCCAGCGTGGCAAGAGCCGCGGCACCGCTGGGATTTTTCCCGCTTCTCTTCCTTTGCTGGCCCTGCTGGGCAGGTCAACCGTGTTGCACCAACCGGATTGGCCATTGCAACATACCCAGGAGGTCAACGGCGAATCAGAAAAACTGTGCCTCGCTGGCGGAATCCACGTTGCTGGACTCTGGTGGTGATGACGAGCACGTGCTTTTGAAAACTTGCTGAGACCAGGTCAGACAGGAATGACGAGCTGGGGCCTGGACATTGTGACCGAAGTGAGCAAGGGATTTTAGGAGAAGCACTTCTTTGTTCCCACATGAATCATATAACGCAACTACATAACGCTAATACAATGTATACAAAAACGGATGGATGGAGTGAACTCCTCCATTCAAGATATGCTTAGGGTTGCGTGTTTCAAGCTAGCGGAAGGCCTCAAAAGACCCAAGCAAAGCCAACATAAAGATAAAAACGATTTGTGATGTCTGCCCAAAATATAAAGCTAGGTTGTACACTGGTTGCATGAGAGCTTAGCTGCATTTCTTTGACCTGAAGGTTGATGGATGACATGTGCGACGTACAAAACACACTGGTCATTCCAAGAAAGCATATAACAGAGAGAGGAGAGGCCCCGCTTTCTAAAGACCAATTTCATTGAGCAGCTTCTTCCAACGAAGCGGCTCTTCGTCGAAAATATATGTAACAGGCGTTACCAGCACCCCACTTCCACCAGCCTGCAGGGAAGGCACAAAAAATGGAAGGGGGGATTTGAAAAGGCTACATAAGGAAAGGGGAGAAAGCTTGGGGGAGGGGGGGTTAAGAGAGTATGAAGGTAAGAGAGTACAAGAGAAAATCAACGTGGATGGCATAACAGATGGTTAATTTCGTTTAGTCAACTCAAAATAAGAAAGAGGCCATGTAAAGCATGAAGGAAAGAGAGTACAGAAGAAATCAACATGGACAGGATAATAGATGGTTGAATCCCGTTGGGAGCACAGTCGTACCGCGTTGGATGAGCCCATCTTAGCACCAGCCTATGTGCCAGCATATCATTCCCAGCATCGTTCCTCCTCTCAACCGCGTAATTTCCTGAGCTCATGGATCGAAGTGTAGATGTGTGCACGCGGCACCACCACCGTGGCTGAGAACTATTCCACCTGAATTCCCCCTAAACGATGCTGCCTTCCCTCTAAAATTGACGTGTAGATGTGCGAGGGCGGTGCCACCATTCCACACCCCCGTCACAAAAACTCCCCACTCTCAACACGTACCTTCCTGAGCTTCCTGATAGAGTGGGGAGCATGGCACCACCACCGTGGCTGATAAGTATTCCACCTTGATGCCTGCTCTGAACCATTCTACACTTCCCTCACAATAACCCCCCTGCTCTGCACCAGCCCACCTTCCTGAGCTCCCGGATGGACGTGTGGATCTGTGAGCACAGCACCACCACCCCGGCTAAAAAAGAACACTCTCCCTCTCCTCTCCCTCTTCCCTATGGCATGTAGATATGTGAGCGTAGCACCACCTCCATCCCCGCGGCTGAGGAGTAGTCCACCTCTTGATGCGTGCTCTCTCAGCCACCCAACCTTCACCAGCAATCGTCCTCATCCCCAAACAGCCCAGCTTCCTGAGCTCCCAGATGGACACAAAGATGTGCGAGCATGGCACCACCACCGTGGCTGAGAAGTAGCATCCGTTGGACGCCACTGCACCCCAATGCACCCCGTTGCACCCCATTCACCATATTGCATCCCATTCATCCTATTCATTTAACCTCCCCGAGCTCCCGGATGGACGCGTAGATGTGCGAGCGCGGCACCACCACCGCTGCTGAGAAATAGTCCACCTATTGCCTGCTCTCAACCATGCCCCCACCACAATAACTCTGCACATACCTTCCTGAGCTCCCGGATGGACGTATAGATGTGTGAGCGCGGCACCACCACCGTGGCCGAAAAGTAGTCCACCTTGATGCCTGCCGCCCCATCGGGAGAATCGTCGCCTCGTGAGTACACCCGCGAGATCGTGGGGCCCTGGTGTAGGGGGGAAAGGGATGGGGGGGGGGGAGACCAGGGTTAAGGGAGAGAGAAGACCAGGGGTGGCATTACACCATCAGGAGAATCGTCGCCTCGCGAGTGCACCCGCGAGATGGTGGGGCCCTCCGGGGGAAGGAGGGTGATAAGAGGCGAGCACGGGGAAAATTGGGGGTAGAAGGGGGTAATTCGGAGTAAGGCAGGAAGGGGGGGGTGAGAGGAGGGGAGGGGGGCTACACCATGAGGCGAGTCACCATCACCGCGCGAGTACACCCGCGAGATGGCGGGGCCCTGGGGGGGAAGGAGGGGTGGTAGGATGAAGGGGTGGTAAAGGAGGGAAGGAGGGGGAGAGGTGTAGATGTGTGAGCATGGCACCACCACCGTGGACGGTGGTGAGGGGATTGGGGGGGGAGGGAGAGGGGTGGGGGGTTGGAGAGCGGGAAGTGGGGGAGGGCGGTTTGAATGGGGTTACAACACCCCCAAGAAACACAGGTTGGGGGGGAAAGGGGGGGAGTAAAGGTGGGTCGGGAAGGGGAATGCAAAACTACCGCAGAAGCTCCTGTGGATGAGTCGTCACCCGGCCGTTCTCCCAGCTGTGTGAGGAGTCTATTTTTGAGGCGCCTCAAAAAAGGACTCCTCATGCGAGGGGGGGTGGGGGAAGGCGGGACAGTGGGGAATGCAACACTACCGCAGAAGCTCCACTGGATGTGTCGTCACCCGGCCATTCTCCCGGCTGCTCCTCCCTTTGCCCACTTCACGACTCGAGTACACCCGGGAGATGGTGGGGCTGTGGAGCCGGGAGAGGGGAGTGCAGTGAGGAGGAGGAGCTACAGGGGGGCACGACACGGGAGGCTCAGATAGAGAGACCAATGGGAGGAGCAGCCGGGAGTACCCGACTGGACCAGCACAATAATGAGCCCAAGAGGCATGTTGCAAAATGAGACACACTAGGCCTGTTAGTGCCATTTTAGAACACCCACCTGCAGCCCAGGGAAGGAGGTGTTCTCCAGCACTCTGTGCGCCACGTCCTCCTCTGACAGCCCCCTCATGTTGGCCGTGACCTGATAAGAGAGGGGGGTAGAGGGGTAGGGAGGGGTACAGAGGAGTAGAGGGGAGGTCAAACGCGTCCTCCTCTAACAGCCCCTTCATGTTGGCCGTGACCTGATAAGAGAGGGGGGGGAGAGGATATGAGAGGGAGATGAGATGCACATAGAGAAAACACAAGGCTAGGGCGTGTGGGAAGGTGCTCTCCAGCACTCTGTGCTCCACGTCCTCTGACAGGCCGCTCATGTTGGCCGTGACTTGTGGAGATGAGGGAGGGATAGAGAAAGGTGCAGAGGGGTAAGGAGGGCATTTGAGGAGTACAGGTGTGCCCAACGAACCTCCCACTCCGCGTCCCCCTCCGATAGCGCCCTCAACTGGCTGTGACCTGGAGATGGGGGATGAGACAGAGGGATGAGAGAGCGGGGAGGGGATGAGAGAGAGGGGATGAGAGAGAGGGAGAGGAATGGAGGAGGGGTGGAGAGAGGTCAGACAAGTACACCTCCTTCTCTGGTAGCCCCCTCCTCTGGTAGCCCCCTCCTCTGGTAGCCCCCTCCTCTGACGTGGGGGGGGTCAGAAAATGGAGGAACGAAAGGGAGATTGGAGGAGGTGTCCGGAAGTGATGCACTGGTTTCATCTCACACTAAACTGGTTTCATCTCACACTAAACTGGTTTCATCTCACACTAAACTGGTTTCATCTCACACTCAACTGGTTTCATCTCACTCTGCACTCGTTTCATCTCACATTGCACTCGTTTCATCTCACACTAAACTCTCACACCGCACTCGTTTCATCTCACATTGCACTGGTTTCATCTCACACTGCACTCGTTTCATTTCACAATGCACTCGTTTCATCTCACACTGCACTCGTTTCATCTCACACTGCACTCGTTTCATCTCACACTGCTCTGGTTTCATCTTACACTGCACTCGTTTCATCTCACTGCACTCGTTTCATCTCATCACACCCGTCTCATCTCACAATGTACTGGTCGCGCGCGCACAGGTGCGCCTCGATCCTCTCCAGCATCTCCTTCGTCATCCCCAGCAGCCCCGGCCGCTCCTCCAGCGCCCGCCGGCTCACCACAAAAACGCCCTGGTAGGGGGGTAAAGAGAATGGAGAGGGTTAGAATGGGAGGGGTCATCAGAGGCATCTCAAAGGCCGCTCCTCCAGCACCCGCCGGCTCACCACAAAAACGCCCTGGTAGGGGGGTAAAGAGAATGGAGAGGGTGAGAATGGGAGGGGTCATCAGAGGCATCTCAAAGGCCGCTCCTCCAGCACCCGCCGGCTCACCACAAACACTCCTGATGGTGGAAAAGGTGAGGAAGAACAGGTGGGGAGGCACAAGGCATGACGAGCGAGGAATACAGACTTGGGGTTTAAGGAACTGACCCCTCCAGCAACGCCCTGCCGGTGCAGCACACCTCAGACACACCCTGGCAGACACAGGGAAGTGTGGGGGCAGGGGGGAGGAGGGGGAGGCCGAACAGGTGGGAGCAAACGGGTTCAGGGTTTAGGAAACAGCGGCATCCCAAAAACCGCTCCTGCAGTACCGGTGCTGATACGCCACCAGGGCTCGGGTTTCAAGGGTAATTACCCGGAATAAAAAAAACATTAAGAGTAACTTTGGGCTAGATTCCCGAATTTGAACGGGTAATGTTCCCTTGGAACCCAGAATTTATACAAGTGGGTGAAAGGGGTTCTCCGGACGAATGAGAATTCCCCCAGGGCATATTCCGGACGACCCTGCCATGGAGATCAACCTCCCCCCCCCCCCCCCTGAGTTCTATGTATCCCCTCTCGAGCGAAAAAATCGAAGTCCTTGACAGACAGAGACATTCCAGCCCCTCCACCCCGACCAGGAAAATCTGGCTAAGTCCCTCACTGCCAGAGACATTACTCCCACATCCCTTGCAACCTCGACATTTGGCATTTGACATTTGATGAGCGCTGTGGCTGTGCTGACTACACTTCATACCCGATACAGTCATTCTCACCTGGCTGCTGAGCACATCCGCGCCCTTGAGCTCTTTGAGGTTGTTCTCCTTGAGCGTCGTGCCTGTGCTGACCAAAGGGGCTACACCTCATACCCCATACAAGTCTCTCTGTCATTCTCACCTGGCTGCTGAGCACATCCGCGCCCTTGAGCTCCTTGAGGTTGTTCTCCTTGAGAGTCGTGCCTGTGCTGACCAGATCGAGAATGGCGTCTGCTGTGCCCATCTGGGGTTGGAGGGATGGGTGGGGCAGGGAAGCAGCCCGGGGGGGGGGGGGGTTGTGGGGGAGGAGTGGGACGGGATAGATGGAGGAGGGGGGAAAGGGGTAAGAAATGGTCCCTGTGCTGACCAGATCGAGAATGGCGTCTGCTGTGCCCATCTGGGGCGAGGGATAGAACAGGGGAAGGGAGGGGGGTGGGGGGGGTACGGAGGGGGGAAAGAGATAAGAGATGGTGCCTGTGCTGCTGACCAGGTCCAGAATGGCGTCTGCTGTGGCCATGTGGGGACACTCCACACCCATACCACCACCACAGCACAATCGAACACGGCCGTCAGACAGCATCGACCTGCTGCAGACGCAGTAGCTGCACAGTTGCACAGCTTCACAGGTGCACAGCTGTACAGTTGCACAGCTGCACAGTTGCACAGTTGCACAGCTGCACAGCTGCATAGCTGCACAGCCCAGAAGCAGCAGAAGCAGCAGAAGCAGCACCCTCCGGGGAGCAATCCGGTGTGGAGAGATGCACGTGGGGTGGGGACTGCTGATGGGGACTGCATCTATCCACCACACCACATTATGCTGCCCCGTTTGAAGTGTGTTTGAAGTCGACTCAAAAATATCCCCCACACAATCCCGCCCCACTTGAACCCAACGAGGTTGACAGACAGATCCCTTCAACCTACTGCAAGGGCAGGATGCCTTCTGAATCCACCCTCGAGTGAACTCTCGTGTAAACTCTCAAGTAACCTCTTGCGTAAACTCTCGCATAGACTCTCGAGTAAGCTCTCGAGTCGACTCAAGCATCCCGTGAACGCGGCCAACCGACCCCGTTGACCTACCGCCGGGGCGGCCTCCAGGGCGCCGTCAGCTGTAGAGAGCTGCACGTGGGTAGAGGTTGTTAGCAAGTGACCGTACATATCCAGCACTACAACACCCTATACTCAGTCAACAACACCCCCTTCAACTTACCGCAGGGGCGGCCTCCAGGGCGCCGTCAGCTGTAGAGAGCTGCACGTGGGGGAAGTCGAGCTGGTCGAAGAAGCGCTTGCCTAGCTGCACGCATGGAGCGGGGAAAAACCGGGAGTGCGTGCATTGAGAAATGGGCACATGACGGTGCGGGTTCTAGGGAGGTGGGGGGGGGGAAGGGGGGAGGGGGGTTGGGGGGGGGAGGGATGGGCCCGAGATAGGATGATGTGTGAAAATCATCTGGTCAAGAAATGCCCCCGCACGCAGGATGCAAAGGAGGGAAAGGGGATCGATGGAAAAGGTCGAGGACCAGGGCGTGCGCATGGCGGCATGGAAGGCGGCAAAGTGGGTGAGCTGTGGCTATAACGAGGGGCCGACTCACATGAGTGTAGCCTGTGACTATGCGGAGAGGGTTGGTAGCAGACCACTGCGGCATGGCGATGAGGTCCTGGATGGAGTTGACGCGCTCGAAGATGCCGTATGACGGCACCTGCAGGGGAAATGATAGGGAGGAGGGGGAGAGCGATGAGAGAGAAGGGAGTGAAGAGTGGGGAGAGCAAGCGAGGCATGGCAACGAGGTCTTGGATGGAGTTAACCCGATCGAATATGCCGTACGACGGCACCTGCGGGGGAATGAGAGGAATGCACGGGAGGGAGGCATGGCATGGCATGGTTGCTTGCAGGAACAGGTTGCAGAAAGCAAGGCGGGGCAGCAATGAACAAGGGAGGGGGGGGCATGGCAATGAGGTCATGGGCCGCTCCAAGGTGCCGTATGGCAGCGCCATTCAGGTGCAACCAATGGCATTTTTGAGGCGCCTCAAAACAGACTCTTCAGGTGCCTCAAAACAGACTCTTCAGGTGCCTCAAAACAGACTCTTCAGGTGCCTCAAAACAGATTCTTCAGGTGCCTCAAAACAGACTCTTCAGGTGCCTCAAAACAGACTCTTCAGGTGCCTCAAAACAGACTCTTCAGGTGCCTCAAAACAGACTCTTCAGGTGCAACCAATGGCATTTGGTGTTCATGCAGCAAACGGCATGGGAAGCGAGGAGGGGTTCTTGTTGAGCTCGACTTTCCGTCATTGGGCTATGAGGTAAGTAACGAGGTGCTTCGTAGCTCGACACTGCCTCGAGGAGTAATCTCTACAACGATGGTTGCTAGCTTGCGAAAACAATATAATGTGGAGATAAGATGGTTACTATAGCCAATTGTCAACCACTCCGAGTACTCACTGCAATGCTGAGGCGGCAGTGGCACTCACTGCAATGCTGAGGTGGCAGTGGCACTCACTGCAATGCTGAGGTGGCAGTGGCACTCACTGCAATACTGAGGTGGCACTTGCCGAAGCCGAGGGAATCGTGCACGATGAGAAGGTTGGGGTCGTCCTGGTGTGTGTGGGGAGCAGGGGCACATTCAAGGCAGGTTGATTGGAGGGGGGGGGGAAGAGGGGGGGAGAGCAGATGGGTGCACAGACAGAGAGTGGGGGGAGGGGTAAGGAAAGGGGCCAGAGAGGGGCGCATGGGGCACAGAGAGGGGCGAATGGGGCACAGAGAGGGCGCATGGGGCACAGAGAGGGGCGAATGGGGCACAGAGAGGGGCGAATGGGGCACAGAGAGGGCGCATGGGGCACAGAGAGGGGCGAATGGGGCACAGAGAGGGGCGCATGGGGCACAGAGAGGGGCGAATGGGGCACAGAGAGGGCGCATGGGGCACAGAGAGGGGCGAATGGGGCACAGAGAGGGCGCATGGGGCACAGAGAGGGGCGAAAGGGGCACAGAGAGGGGCGCATGGGGCACAGAGAGGGGCGAATGGGGCACAGAGAGGGGCGCATGGGGCACAGAGAGGGGCGAATGGGGCACAGAGAGGGCGCATGGGGCAAAGAGAGGGGCGAATGGGGCACAGAGAGGGGCGCATGGGGCACAGAGAGGGGCGAATGGGGCACAGAGAGGGGCGCATGGGGCACAGAGAGGGGCGCATGGGGCACAGAGGGGCGCATGGGGAACAGAGAGGGGCGCATGCAGAACAGAGAGGGAGGGAAGACGGAGAGGGAGGGGGTTGGATGGGTGGGGGGGAGGGGAGATGGAGAAACTGTGGCGCGTCAAGCCTCTTTCTTCTTCTACTTGTTTTTTCTCTGCTTCGACTTCCACTCACTACTTCCAGCAGTCTACATGCTTGCTTGCCTGCCAGCTCACCTTCTTCTCTCTCCTATTTCTCGTTCCAGTCTCCAGAACTTTACAGTCGCGTGTTTCTCCCATTGTAGTCCCCTGCAGTTCCTACTCTTCACCATCCATATCTCGCCATGTACTCCTTGACCATGTCTTTAATCTCCGCCATACCTTGCCGTACTCCTTGACCATGTCATAGCCCACTATGGTCATGTCCACGTCGCCGCTCAGCAGCTTCCGCACGCAGTCCGACGCGCGCTGGAACCACACCTCCAGGCCCTCGATCTGGGAAAGGGGTGCGGGTGGGGGGTGGGGGGGGGGGGGGGGGGAGGGGGAGGGGAAGAGGGGGGAAGGAGTAAGGGGAAGTCAAGGGCGCTCAGCAGCTTGCTCTCGCAGCCCTACGCGCGCTGCACTGCAACCACACCTCCAGACCCTCGATCTGTCAGGGAGATGAGTGCTTTTGAGGCGCCTCAAAAGTACGCGCGCTGCAACCACACCTCCAGACCCTCGATCCGTGAGGGAGGTGAGGGGAGGGGGGAGAGGGAGTGGGGGGCAGAGGGAGGGGAGCGGAGGGGGGGAGAGGGAGTGGGGGGCAGAGGGAGGGGAGGGGAGGGGGGAAGAGGGGAATGCGTTGAGAATTCTTAAAAAGCATAACACAATGCTTTGACAAGGCATGATGCCGAGGATGTGGGACACGAGAGCGAGGGAGGAATGGGATGCAGGGGGAAAGGAGACTGCAGAGGAATGGGATGGGATGGGATGGGATGGGATGTAGAGGGATGGGATGGGAAGGGGAACGCAGAGCAAAGCCTTCGTTCACAAGCGTAGCAGAGGAATGTGGGGGGCGTAGATAAGCATGTGAATCCTCAATGCTCAATGCCCCATGCTCAACATAGGCTCAATGCTCTATGCCCCATGTTCAACCTTGTTGCATAAAGGTGACTCACGTAGGCTTACCACCCAAAGGCTAAAGCCCAGAAACCTAGCTTCAGAAAGCACAGCAGGCTCAAAGCCCAGCAAGCCGCACCTCGGAGATCTCTGCGATGTATTGGCGAGGGTTCGGCTTTCGCACGGTCAGCTCGCACTCCTGTGACGGGCAGGCGGAAGAAACGGGGCGGGAAGAGGGGAGTGAAAGTACTGTTAAAGTGCCGCGCACTTTACGAGAGGGAGGGGGGGAGGGGAGCCGTAGGCTTTTACGAGAACGGGTAAGCCGGCATGTAAGTACGTGCGATAAAGGTTTTGTTTTGAGTCGAATCAAAACGAAACTGTTATCGCACGCTAGTACCTTGAGCAGCGCGAGCGTGTCTTCCGCCATGCGACCTTTACTCGGCAGCGCCAGTCGCACGACGTCGCGCTGGCGACTCCTCGCTGCTGACGACGTTGTCGCCTCCGACGCTGCCGCGGTGATGCGACATGACGGGAGGAGGGGGGGGGAGGGGGAGGGGAGGGGGGGAGGGAGAAGGGGGAGGGGAGAAAGGGGAAGAGAGGAGGAGGGGAGAAGGGGGAGGGGGGTTAGGAGGATGGGTTTTAATCGAGTACGATCAAGGGTGTGTTGTATATAAGGTGGGACAGCGACGGGTTGGGGTTGAAGAAGCTTTCAGGACGGTGCTTGGTCCGAAAGGCGACTTGACCTATGAGCTTCGCAATGGGTGGGACATCTCGGATAGCGAGTATCGAATAGCGCGTGGAACTGATTGGCGGAGTAGAGAGACGTCCGCGTTTGAGTCGACTCGATAGCGAATATAGCGTGGTGTGCCTGGAACTGATTGGCGGAGTGGGGCGACGTCGGCAAGATCCAGGTCGAAGCCTAGGATAGATTATAACGGCGAACGGTTCTACAGTCAAAACGGGTCTAAAAGGGTTGAGCAGGGTTGAAAAGGGTACTAGGCTCGATCGAGTGCACCTCGAGCTGCAACTAGAACCAAGGTCGTAGGTCGGAAATAGTGCCTTCTACGGCATACACTTTTTTAGGCGCCTCAAACTAGACTCCTATCACGCGGTCGGAAATAGTGACTTCTACGGCATACACTCTTTTTCCAGACGGGCAGCATCCCTACGTGCGACTAAGGCCCGGATCGCCAAGCGTACGTGTCGTGGCACTATCAAACTAGGAAAGCAGGAGGCAACGACACCCCTCTGTTGAAGCAGAATAAGTGTACCGGGGGAAAGATGGTGATCGATTACACCATGAAACGTGACTTTTGAGCCATCGATCGTCATCTTACCCCCGGGAAGTTGACTCAAAAGGCCCCTCCCTACTGTTGACGCAGAACAAGCTTCCCGGGGGTTAGATGATCATCGATTACTCCATGAGCGGGAGGGCACATTCCGTGCTGTAAAAAAAAAAAAACAGCGGAACTAAGTTTACCAGGGGAGCTTGTAGTCGCTGCAGCAGCAGCTGCCGCCGAAGCGCCAGCTGCAGCCTCACAGCGCCATACGATCCGGCCTCTGACATCGCGGCTCGGCGCAACGCGCACGACGACGGGCGCGCCTTTGATGGCAGACGAGCCTTTAATCGCCGGCGGCGCTGCGAGCATTGGTTGGGGAGCGGCCCGTCTAAGCACGCAGTTCGCCATGCTGTGGTGTAGCAGACAGGCGTAACGGCCAAGTGAACAGGCTGACGACGTGGCTTAGAAATAAGCGACAGGAGCCGCTAAAGGCTGGAACCTCCCTGGGAAAGGAAACCTGCTGAGAAAAGGAGGATGGGAGGAAATAAAGATGGAGAATGTTGAAGGAGGTGGCTGAAAATAGAGGTATTTTTGTCCCCCAAGCAGGTAACCAAGCTCCCTGATGTCTCCACCTCGAGTTGGCGAATAAAGTTGCTTCGCGACAAGTACTGACGACAATGGTTACGGCTAGTTCGGTCATCGTCCATCTCTGATGTGGGGTTGACGGCTGATGGCGAAAGACGACGAAACTGTTATATTAGGCTGGGACATGATGCTGAGGGCGGGAGCGGGTAATCCGTGCAGCCAATGGGAGAGGCGAACGGGCACCCGCATCCGCAGATGCTCTGCGGCCGGAGGGAAGGGAGTTTGCGGCTGCTGTGGCTCCCGCGGGGTTGGGGGAATTGGAATCTCCTTGGGAATATACGTTTGTGCAGGAAAATCAAATGTTCGTTGAATCATTCATTCTACGCGAAAACGTCTTCAATGTAGATGGACAAGCTATCATCCCTTCCGTCGTAAACCGGAACTGTCGAAAACGAGCATGAATCTAAATTCAATCAGCTTGCGATAAAAACGGCACAGATCGAATTCTCCCGCCGTTTTTAGGGCCCTTGAATTCCAGCGAGCACACTCAATCCAATTTACCTATCTCAAACTTGAAATCCCCGATTCGTCCCCGCCAGGCATGTCCGCCGAACCTGCCTCTCCGATCCTCACATCGGCCGATGGGCCTCAGGTAGCCGTCCGATCAGCATGGCGCGTTGCGCACGGCGATTGGTCGTCCGTGTCCCAGGTTTCTGAAACACCATACGAACCTTCCGAAAATGCGGAACGAGGACTCGGGGAGGGGGATCGAGAGGTCGGCGGAATTGGCGGCAGGGGTGGCGGGACGGTGGAGTTGGCGCGAGAGGAGCGATCGGCGGATTGCGTCTTGACGTGTAGGCTCCTTAAAGCCCGAAAAGAAAAAATCCTTGACGTGTAGGCCTTCCGCCTTCGCCCCGCCGGACCACTTCTCCTCCTCGTCCCGCTCCGTCCCCTCTCCGAACTCCCCGCTGCTTCGCCCTCTGCCAGTCCATCCCCCTTCGCCCCTTCCGCCGTCGCTCCGCCCCTCCCCCGTCTGTTCTGAACCCTCTGGCCGAAATCGTTCAGTCCTCCTATCCCCCCTCCTCCCCTCCCCCACAAACCCTCCCCACTCCCCTCTCCCGTCTCTCCCCCGTCCCATCTCCCCTCTCCCCTCACTGTAGTGCTCTTCGCGGGCCGCGCTGTCCGCCTGCACTCCATCCACGTCATCGCTTCAGCGCGCTTTGCTGAGCTGTACTCCGCCAATGCCACGTGGCAGGGCGGCACAGGGCAGGGGGAGGACGCATCCAGGGGAGGTGATTTGGGGGAGTATGTTAGCACCGTTAGGGGGGAAATGGTAGAGGAGAGTAGAGGAGGAGGAGGGGGAGGAGGAGGGGGAGGAGGAGGGGGAGGAGGAGGGGGAGGAGGAGGGGGAGGAGGAGGAGGAGGAGGAGGAGGAGGAATGGCATCAGGCAGCCGCCCTCTCTACTCCCTGCTCTTGCGTGTCCCACCTCCCCTAGATGCAGACGATTGCTCCCACAGTGACTGCAGCTCCGAAGCTGAAACATCATCAATAGCAGGCTCGGCAACAGGCTCGGCCACAGCAGCAGGTGCATCCCTATCGGAAGCGTGGCTGACCTCGCTCTCTCTGAAGCTGCTAGGTCTAAGAGGCGCTTCTTCCGTCACTATTCACTCCATCCACGTCTCACTATCCCCAGGTCCCTTCCTCTCCTCCTCGCCGCTTCAGTCCGCCCCTACTGCTGCTGCTACTGCTGCTACTACTGCTGCTACTACTGCTGCTGCACCACCACCACCACCACCACCAGAAGCAGCATCAGCAGCAGCAGGGCCGAGCCTCCTCCCGAGCCTGTCGCCAAGCCTGTTGGCCAGCTTGCCCCAGGAGTTGCTGTCCAAGCTGCCACCGAACCTGCCTGCTGCGTTAGCCAGTGGCATGGGTGCTGGCGGTATGGGTGGTAACATGGGTGGTAACATGGGTGGTAACATGGGTGGTAACATGGGTGGTATGATGAGTGGTAATTCTGGTGGTAACGTCAGTAGTGGTGGTAACATGGGCGGCCTTTCAGCCTCCATGCTCCCACTCCTCCTCGCATCCCTTGCAGGCCCCTCCAAAACCCTTCGCCCTCCCCCCTCCTCTGCTCCCTCTCTTCCATCTAGCACCACCCCCCACACTCTTCCATCCTCACTCCCTCCTCCCCATGCTCCTTCACCCCTCCTCACTCCTCCTCTCTCCGCCCCTTCATCCACCCCGCCTCCCCCCCAAGACTCCTCTCCTCTCCTCCTCTCTCTCATGCACAGAGTGGAGCGCTTGGAGAGGGTGTGTGCCAGGCTGGAGGCTCAGGTGACAGGTGGCATGTCGCGATTGGCCACACGGCTGGATAAGGTCGAGTCTAGCGTTCGCCAGATGTCACAAGCCTCCCTTGCCTCTGCTTCTACACCTGCTGCTGCTGCTACAGCTCCCACACCTGCTATACCTGCTGCTGTACCTGCTGCTACAGATGCTCCAACAATTGCTGCTACAGATGCTGCTACAAGTGCTGCTGCTGCTACAAGTGCTGCTGCTGCTACAGATGCTCCTACAAGAGGTGATGCTGCCACAGCTGCTACAAGTGCTGCTGCTGCTACAGATGCTGCTATAAGTGCTGCTGGTTTTAGAGCACCTCAAGTGACTGCTACAGAAGATATTGCTACAGCAGATGTTGCTACATTGCCTGCTTTCTCGCCCGTGCAGCAGCATGGCATGCAGGAGGAAATTGAGGGTGCAAGAATGGCAGACGTAACAGCAGCAGCAGCAGCAGCAGCAGCAGCAGCAGCAGCGGGGGGAGAAGGAGCAGTAACAATAGCAGCAGTGGAGTGGGGAGCTGTAGCAGCAACAGTGCAACCATCAGCGTCAGCAAGTGTTGGTGTCGAAACAGGAGCAGCAGAGGGAGCTTCAGCAGCAGCAGCAGCGGTGGCAGCAGCAGCAGAAGAAGAAGAAGAAGCAGCAGCATTAGAAGCGGCAGGATCAGGAACAGCAGATTCAGAAGGAAAGCTCGCAGGAACAGCGGCTGTAGAAGCCAAGAGGCGGGGAATGGATGCCTTTTTTAAAGAGATACTTACTCGGATGGAGCAGCGGCAGCAAACAGAAGCACTGAACAAGCCTGATGTTGCTGAGATGCATCAAGTGGGGACACTTGAAGAGCTTGGCGCTGCTGTGATGCATCAAGTGGAGACACTTGAAGAGCCTGGCGCTGCTGAGGTGCAGCAAGTGGAGACACTTGAAGAGACTGGCATTGCTGTGATGCAGCAAGTGGAGACACTTGAAGAGACTGGCATTGCTGTGATGCTGGAAAAGGTTGAAACTCAGGGAGACGGATAGTGGTGGAGTGGGGAAGGTTGACAGTGGTAAGGGGTATGGTGAGGTTGAGGGTGGTTTTACGAAGGCTGAAGAAGTGGAGGAGGAAAGACAAGAAAGTAGGGAGGAGAGAGGAGAGAGCAGAGCAGAGAGGAGATAGCAGAGGGAGGTATGCATGGAGGCAGGTTTAGGGATGGGATGGGAGGAGGTCACTTGAACACATTGTACCGCAGCCAGGGAGAGGTCATGGGGAGTTCAAGGGAGCTGATGCAAAACGCAGGGGAAATCAACAAAAACGTCAGCAGGAGGAGGGAATGATGAACGAGAAGGGACTGGGCCGGAGTGAATCAACAGGGTATTGGTATCGTTGCTGGTGTGCAGGGTGCACGTTCTGGCGAGGAGGCAGGATCATCTGCAAGATTCATACGACTGAGCCTCTGAGGGCTCGACTGGGGTGGGACGGGGCACAGGAATTTGTGGTGGGCAGCTTTGGTATGGAGGATGACTGGCATTCGGACCAATGTTACTCTCACGTCACGACCATAAGCCAAAACTCCAAAACGTGTTGAGTATACACTGCATTAGACCCATGTCTGCTGTACTTTTCCTCAACAGCATAATGGCATGCTCCCTACCAACAGTGAAGTAGAGCATCTGCTCACTCTTGCGAGTGCACTTATTGAGTCCACCACTAGCAGTGTACAGCGCAGCCTACAATGAGACAAGAATGAGATGTACTGTAGTGATGATGGCAACTAGTAGCAACCTGCCAGTTGAAAGAGTATCACATTGCACAGCAGGCTCTCACGTGCTCCACTCTGCTCAGGTGTCAACACACGCTGCGGAAACCACTCTGAAGCCAATCAAGGTGGTCAGATCAACCCCCCATCATGTCAGATCAAGCTCCCCCTATGTTGTCAGGACAGTCCCCCCCCCCCCCCCAATGCTGTCAGATCAACACCCCCCTCCCCTCCTGGATGCTGTCAGATCAACCACCCCCCATGCTGCCAGATCAACCACCCCCCATGCTGTCAGATCAACCACCCCCCATGCTGTCAGATCAACCACCCCCCATGCTGTCAGATCAATCACCTTCCCCATGCTGTCACATCAACCCCCCCCCCCCTAAGTCGTCAGTATCAGTGCCTCGAGTCAGGTTGACGCCAGACTATCAGAGTGGATTATTTGCCATGGCTGTTGTACCAGGCGGGTCCATGAAGGCTGCTAGCTGCTGCTCATACCCTCTCCTACTCCCCCATTGGCTGACTTGTTCCGAGCAACCTTATTCCTGGGAGCTATCTACGCTATGTCATCTAGATCGATCACTACCGGAGAGGAGGGACACATGGCAGGGGTTGGAGGTAAAGCCAGCGGCGAGGCTGGCTTGAGGGCAGGCGGATGGTGACGAGTGTCAGGTGGAAGGTCAGCGCTGTCAGGTGAAAAGTCAGGTGGGTTTGGAAAAGTAAGGTCAGGCTCCTCATCTAAGTCTATCACTTCTGATGCTGGTGATGCCATGGCTGCTGCTGCTGCTGCTGCTGCTGCTGATGCAAGTGTCGTTGGTGCTGCTGCTGAGGGTGTTGCTGGTGCATCACCAGCATTGTACACACCAGCACTCCCAGGAATCCTCATAACTGGCTTGACGATTGGCCCACTGTGGTTCGTAGGCCTGCTGTGTGGTTTAGAGTGGCTCACCATGATGGTTGATAGGTGTCGCCCCACCACTGGCTTCAGCTGTGCCCCTCCCTTGCCTGCTGGAGCTGCTGCTGCTGCTGCTGCTGCTCCCCTTCCGACCCCCACTTTTCCTGCTGTTGATGATTCTGCTCGCCCCGCTTCTCCTAACGCAGCGGCAACAGCAGCCTGAGCAGGAGCAGGAGCAGTTGTAGAAGCTCCAGCAGTGGTGGTGGTAGGAGCAGTCGCAGGTCCGTGTGTGGGTGAGGAAGGAGGGGAGAAACCAGGAGGGATGGATCTAAGGGCGACAGTCGGAATCGGCACGGTAGCAGGGGTATCAAGAGTAGCAGGAGCAGCAGAGGAAGCAGCTATAGAAAATCTAGCAGTGGTGGCAGTTGGAGCAGACGTGGGGGTGTGTGTGGGTGAGGAGGGAGGGGAGAAACCAGGAGGGATGGATCTAAAGCCGACAGTAGGAATCGGCATTGTAGCAGGGGCATCACGAGAAGCAGGCGCAGCAGAGAAAGCAGCTGTAGAAGCTTCAGCAGTGGTGGCAGTTGGAGCAAACGCGGGAGTGTGTGAGGGTGAGGAAGGCGGGGAGAAACCAGGAGGGATGGATCTAAAGCCGACAGGAGGAATCCGCATGGTAGCAGGAGCATCAAGAGAAGCAGGAGCGGCGGCAGCAAAGAAAGGAGCAGGGGCAGCAGGGGCAGCAGGGGCAGCAGGGGCAGCAGGAGCAACAGGAGCAGCAAGAGCAGCAGCAGAGGAAGCAGCTGAACAAGCTCCAGCAGTGGTGGCAGTTGGAGGAGAGGCGGGGGTGTGAGTGGGTGAGGAGGGAGGGGAGAAACCAGGAGGGACGGATCTAACAGTCACAGTGGGAATGGGAGCATCACGAACAGCAGCAGCAGAGGGAGCAACAGCAGCAGTGAAAGCTCCATTAGTGCTGGCAGTTGGACCAGAGGCGGGGATGTGTGTGGGTGAGGAATGGGGGGAGAAACCAGGGGGGATGGATCTAAAAACGTCAGTAGGAATTGGCACAGTGGCAGGGGCATCAAGAGCAGCAGCAGCAGCAGAGGGGGAAGCTGCGGAAACAGAGGCAGAGGCACGTGTGGGCGAGGAAAGAGGGGAGAAGCCAGGGGGTATGGGCTTAAGAGAAGGATTAGAAACGGCCACTGTAGGATGACAAGTGGGGTGTGAGGGGGGGGGAAGGTCGGCAGGAATGCGAGGGTGATGGGAGGGAGAAAGTCGGTGAAGAGCTTGGACTGAACTAGAGGCTGGAGTTTGTTGATGTGATTGATGCGGCTGCTGATGCAGCTGATGCGGCTGCTGATGTGGCTGATGCGGCTGCTGACGTGGCTGATGCGGCTGCTCTTGCTGCAGATCCTGAGGCTGATTCTCCTTAGGCTCCTTTTGCTCCCGTAGCTGCTGCTGCTGCTGGTGGAGGTGCTGCTGCTGCTGACGATCGTGGAGATGCTGCTGCTGGTGCTGCTGCGGGTACTGCTGACACTGCAGGGGTGTCTGAAAGCACAAACGCTGCTGCTGCTGCTGCTGCTGCTGTTGAGGCCCCTCTGGGTGCTGAGTAGGCTCACAACGCAACTGCTGTCCGGGAGCTTGATCTGAAGACCGCTTTCGTGGCCTTGACTTACTGTTGCACTGAATCCCCTCCCTTTGACCAGCTTTAGCCCACTTCCCTTCACCATTGACCCATTTCCCTTGACCAATGTTGACTCCCTCCCCTTCAGCGCCCACCCACTCCCCTTGACCAGCATACACCCTCCCTGACCTAACACGCCCGGAGAAATCAGCAGAGAGGGCAGCAGCCACTACGAAGTCAGTACTTTCCCCAAGGGTGGGAGAGGGGGCGCGAACAGGAGCAGAGGCAGCAGCTGCAACGGCGGCAGCAGCAGCGGCGGCAAGAGTGGGCACATGACCACTTACACCAAGAGCAGGAAAGGCGCGAGGAGCAGCTACAGCAGCAACAGCGGCAGCAGGATTGCTTGTCGTACCAGGAGGGCTGGGGGCAAGGGGAGCAGAGGCGCGGCTTGGAGCCACACCAGGAGGAGCGGTGGTGTGTGGAGCAGCTACACCAGAAATGGCAGCAGCAGAGCTTGCTGTTGTGCCAGGAGGGCTGGGGGTACGGGTCGCAGTGGCGAGGTTACGAGTTGCGCCAACAGGAGTGGAGGTATGAGCAGTTGCAGGGATACCGAATGCACCTAGAGAAGGGGCGCAAGGAGCAGTGGCAGTAGCGACAGTGGTGGCAGAGAAACCTGCTGTACCACCAGGAGTGGAAGCACGAGCAGCAGGAGCAGCAGCATCAGGAGCAACAGCAGCAGGGGCAACAGCAGCAGGGGCAACAGCAGCAGGGGCAACAGCAGCAGGGGCAACAGCAGCAGGAGTAGCGGCAGTGTCACATGACACAGCAACAGGACTGGAGGCACGAGCCGCAGGAGCAGCAGCAGCAGTCACACTGTCACGAGTCACACCAAGAGGAGAGGGAGCACGAGGGGCAGCAGCTGCAGCAGCAGCAGTTGCAGTGCTACGTGTAAAACCAGGAGGTGAGGGAGCACGAGCAGGAGGAGAAGCAGCAGCAGGAGTAGTAGCAGTGCCACGAGACATATCAGCAGGGCCGGTGGCACACGCCGCAGGAGCAGCAGTGGCAGTGGCACTGTCACGCGTCACACCAAGAGGAGAGGGAGCACGAGGGGCAGCAGCAGCAGCAGCAACAGCAGTTGCAGTTTTACGTGTAAAACCAGGAGGAGAGGGAGCACGAGAAGGAGCAGGAGCAGGAGCAGCACTGGTGGCATTGTTACGAGTCACACCCATAGGAGTGGCAGCTGTGGCACCAGCAGCAGGAGCAGCGGCGGCAGTATGGTTATCACGAGTCACAGCGAGAGGAGTAGCAGCTTGGACACGATCAGCAGGCTTTGCTGGTGCGGAGGTGGCAAGAACAGCATCAGCAGAGACGAACCACTCATGGCCACACGATGTGCACTCCAGCTGTAGGGCAGAACAGAGGGAATGAACGCATATGTTACACCAGGTGAGGTTGAACACTAGAAACAAGAGAGGCAAGTACTGGAAACACGAGGCTTGGGGAAGTGGCGAGGGGGGGTGGGGGTTGGGGGAGAAGGACGAGAAAAAGAAAGGACCGATGGGATCAAGTGAGGCTGAAGGAAAAGCTAGAAGCATACGCTAAACAGAATCCCCTTCACTCACCTTGTACTGCTGGCCCCTGGGGCTGTTGAGAATATCCTGCACCGTCACCTGCTGATCGTACCCCCACAAACCTGGTGGACTGAGTGGGCCGTTAGAGAGGCACACGATTGCTGAACCCTGCCACTTACCTTGTACTGCTGGCCCCTGGGGCTGTTGAGAATATCCAGCACCTTCACTTGCCGTTCCCCCCGCAGGGCGCACTGGGAGCACCGCATCCCCACCCACTGCACAAAATCGCTCCGCCCCGGTCTCGTGGTGGCAGGAGGAGCCATCAGCGCCTTCTCCCGCCTCGTCAGACCATCCTGGAAAACGGAAGTAGGGGCGGTAGGTAGGGGAGGTGGGGAGGAGGAGGAGGTTAGCAGGGGGGTGGGGGTGGGGGTGGTGGGGGTGCGGGGGCCAGCAGGGAGAAGGGGAGGGAATGCAGATTGGGGTGGGGGAGAGATACAAGAGGAGGAAAGCAAAGGGCAGCCAGAAGGGGTAAAACAGGGGAATCAGGAAAAATAAGAAGAGACGGGAAGCGAGGGAAACAGATCACGAGTACCTTGATCACGACTGTTTTGCTGAAAGCATGGGGCAAAGCACATTACCTTGAGCTCTTCTGGTGACATGGAGAGCACGACTGATGGTTGGAGCTCTCCCAGAATGAACCGACGAGAGAGGCACTCCCCGCTCTGCAGTGTGCATACAGGAGCCAGATGAAGCAAGATGCAATTGCAGATGACTAAGGAAAATAGCATCATGGCAGAGAAACAAAAAATCAGGCAACAGCCCTTGTCACGGGAGGAAAAAAAAAAAAAAAAAAAAAAAAAAAACAGAAGGGAAAGAAGACTAGAAGACAAGGAGGAAGCAAACAGACAACCCACACCTTGAAATTCGCTCGTACGGCTCTCAGCTTGAGCGCATACTTGGACCCCAAGCCATCTCCCAGCGTCTCATTTGCCAGCCTTTCCAAACCAGCCACCGCCTCTGCTGCCTTCATCTCCCACTCCAACTGTCCCTGGTACTTGCAAGAATCTGCGCCTGCAGCAGAGGGGAGGTCGGAGCGGATTGCAGCAGCAGAAGCAGCAGCAGAGGAGCTGGCCGTGGGAAAGGCAGCAGTGGTTGTGGCGCCAGGCGAAGACCCAGGTGAGGGGGCGCAGGAGAGAAGGGCGGAGAGAAGCCACTCTAGCATGTGGTCCCGCTTCCGGCTGCCGGTGCAGCAGCCAGCACGCTCCAGGATCTCTGCTTCAGCAGTAACGGGGATGACTTTGCCAGCAACGGAGGGACCCGGTCCAGCACTGGGAGCACGGTATCTGGTACCAGCAGCGCCAGCAGCAGAAGCAGAAGGAGCAGCAGCAGCAGCCGCAGCAGAACCAAGCTTATTGCTTGAGGCCATGACGCGTTTTCCACTCTGCGACCTTCCCAGATTGCTTCCACCTTCCCTCGACCTCTCTTTTCCTGTCTCCTTGTTTTCCTCATCCTCTCCAACCTTACTCACTTCTCCTCTTTCTCTTCCCTTCCCGCACCCCCCCTGCCTCTGGCCGCCATACGCGTTCTCCCCAACTTTGTCGGGTCCCTCAGCCAAGGAGCAGCGACCAAGGGCAACTGCACCAGCTCTCCCGTCCTTCCTCCCCCCCCTCCCTTCCAAACCCCTCGTTAACGACACTAATCTCCTCACTGCTCCCTCTCCCCTCACAACTGCCCTTGGCTCTCCATTCACTTCCTCAACAGACTCCCAGGTCTGCTGCTTGGTCATTGGTGCATCCGGACCCCCTTCTGCATCCAGCCCTCCACCCCTACTCTGCCGGTCCCAGAAAAAATCTCCTGAGAATCCATCCTTCCCATTGAGCCTGCTGCCATCTTCGTCCAGCTCACCACCACCAAGTTCCTCCTCCTCCTTCTCCTCCTCCTTCTCCTCATCAGCTACTACCACACGCTGCCTCATCTTCCTCAGGCGCTTAAAACCGACGCCTGACCACTCCTTGACAGCCTTTGGAACAGACTTCGTGACAGCCTCCGAATCTTGCATGACAGCAGCCAGGTTATGCTGTAACGACTCCCTCTGCTCGGCGACTTTTCTCCTCCTTGCCTTCTCGTTGTCAACTCTCGCCCCTATTGGAACATCATCGTCATCATCACCCGAGCTCTCCACGTCAGCTTCTCGCCTCCTCTTCACCGATTCCGCCATCCTTCCACAAATCGGCTCATCTTCACCATCTTCAGATTCCAGCCCCTCTCCAGACCCCTCCTCCCTGGCACGCTTCCTCTGGGCCAAATTCATAAATTTCACAGAAATTTCTCTCTGCATCTTCTCCAGCCTGATTCGCGTTGCCTCCAACTCCGCTTCAATCTCCTTCCGTTCCCACCGTTCCATCCTATTCCAGTCATCAACGGCCACAGTTCGTCCATCCATATGGCGATAGACAAAGTGCACCACAAATCCGCCAGATTCTTCTTCGTTAGGGAAACCCTTGACACGTGGAAGCACGTGAATCGTGCATCTTCCAGCAATCGCTTCAGCATCAAACGGGTCGATGTGAAACGAGTAGAAGATAAGGCGAGGATCCGCTAGCTCCTGTTCGCTGTACGGCAGTGATGACGAGCATGAGGAGCTGCTGAAGCCATGCAACGTCTGCCTGTTATCCAGAATCTCCTGAACTGTATACATCCACTGACCGACGACTTCAACCGGCGCCAGAGCACGGCCTCTCACTTGCTGGCGTATTTCCTGCAAAAGACAACGAAGTCAGAATAATCATTAAAAGAAAAAGAAAAAAGAAAAAAAAAATCATCAATTGGATAGAGAGATCATGCTGCGGAATGAAGTGAGTGGCGCTCTTACCTGAATGATGCAAACATATGGACGGGGTTCGTCGTTGATAGCTGGCTCGTCCTGGGAGCCATGGACAGTCTTGCTTAAGCTTTCATCAGACCACACAAGGACAGCGTCTCCCTGAAAAACAAAACAGCAGAAGACAGCAGGGAGTGAAGGAGTAAACAACTTGATCAGAGGAGATCGTTTAAACAAGTATTTTGGACAATCTTTTCCGGTCCTGGTGGACAAAATAGCAGCTCAAACTCGTCACATAAAATGCAGTCAGCATGGAAAGTTTGGACTGCAAACGGCTACTCAACCTCTGCATTTCTAAGCTCCGCGTGCTAAGATATCATCGTTATCGTTCGGATGTTGCTGACATATGATTTCCTCAATCTAAAACTGTCGTCTTGGGAGGATGTCGAGAATAAGGAGGGGCGAAGCTTACGAGTTTGTATATGTTGTCTTGCCATTTGAGCGCTCTAAACAGCAGAAACTCCCTTGTCCCCTCCCGCTCCTTGCGAATCGGCTTCCCTACAGCTTCCGCACAATCGTCTCCACCCATCACACAGAAAACTGTCGATGGACCGAAGAGTTAATCCCAAACCGCGCTTTACTCCTCGTGAGCGACTCTCCTAGTCTACGGCAGAAGTCCGATTACTACGCAGAAACGAGGAAGAAAAAATAATCATCGGCGACAATCCTCGCACTTATGAAATTGGCTGCCTCAGTTATAGGAGCGTACTGCAGAGATCTGCTAGGTAGTCAGACCGCTGACAATTTCCCCGAGTCCTCCATCCAGTCAAAACCAAACCACCTTTCTCCTCCTCTGAAGTACAACTTCTTCTGGGGACGTCACAGAAAAGTACAGTACGGTATACATCGTTTCTAGAACGGTTAGATAGCGTAAAATCTTGGTTCTAAGGCGTCCCGAAACCTTACGCTTTGCTTCAGACACTCCCTTAGGAGACAAAAAGCCTCGTTCTCTCCAACCTCCTCGGCAGCTGGCCTGCACGGCACATGTCAGGTCAGTCCGTGGGGCTTCCACACCACAAGCCACCGAACACAAGGTACGATTATGTGGGAAAGGGCGTGTCCAGCACGTACGTTTGCAGTACACAGATCATTGTTCAGTAGGATATATCGCGATCAAGAGCGGTTTTCGCGCTTCACCACGTTGGAACCCTGAAAACCTTATTGAACCGTATGAAGTGAATCTTAAACGTACTGGACACGCTGTAAATTCAGAGTGTATAAATATGAAGAACATACATCAGAAGGCTCTAATATTCATGTTTCCCCTATGCTCTCTTGAAAACTAGACGCAGGAAAACCTCATTATCAAGGCAAGACAAGCACTTCGGATTACGATGAAGGTGTTTTAGCCCAAAAAGGCAATGCACCACGCACCACAACCTGCTCCCTAGTACCTGGATGTGGAAACTCTAACCGCTCAGCATGCAAAAGATGATGCAACCAAACTCTTCCTTCTTTAGGCCACTCGAGAGGTCCTCCATACCTCACATCCCCCACAAGAGGAAACCCTGCCAGCTGGCAGTGTAGACGAATCTGGTGGGAACGTCCAGTGTGGGGAAAGGCTTGGACCAACACCGCACATGGAGTAGACCCGCACGAGTCTCGATCCTTGCTCTTTTGTGCCACATCAGACGATCGAAAGTCTGCTTCACTTAGCACTGACAGAACCACCAGCTTTGTCCGCATGTCCCTCACCCTTGATCCACCAGGAAGCTTTTTCCCAACATCCTTCAAGTCGTACACGCGCCACAGCCCATGCCTTGACCTGCCATGACCTGTTTCCAGGACAATCTCCTGACCGGCTTTCAATGAGCAAGGGCCAGGAGGAACAGAACCAGACGCAGTGGCAGAAGCAGGTGCAGAAACAGAAGCCGAAGCACAAGCAGAGGCAGTTGCAGTGGCGATTGCATCTTGTTCAGTGCGCACATCCTCACCGGGTCCTCCAGCAGCAGGTAAGGCACAGAGAGCTAGATAGGACTTGCTGACTTCCCTCCTCTCAAACGCCTTTCCTAAAGTGGCTGCCGCTGCTGCAGTCTTGGCCAGGAGCAACACGCCGCTGGTGTCGCGATCCAGTCTATGCACCAGAAACGGGGTGGAGGTGGGTGACACTTTGGGTGACACTTTGGGTGACACTGTGGGTGTCACTCTGGTTGGCAATGGAGTGCAGCAGACACTCGATGCTGGCGTGCTGAAGGTGGGATTCGAACCCTGCAGTTCTGCTGCTGAAATTTTCCCACCCAATGCTACATTCCCATCCAAAGGATGTGTGTTCTGGCCTGGACACTCTCTGAAGACAGTGACACCTGAAGCCATCTGGTTCGCGTCCGTGCTTCCCTCACTAGGCCGTTTGGCGTCTTTCGCCTGGTCTCGCGTAGCCAGCATGGCACCCACAGCTGATAGGATGTGCTCGCTGTACACCCCCGGGGGTTTCTGCACGGCAATCAGCCAGTCATCTTCCAGCAGAATTGAGTCCGGATCAATAAAAAGGCCAGCAGTTGCTGCTGCCTCGGCGGCTTGAGCTCGTCGGGTCTCGACAGACGAGGATTCTGGCGGAGGAAGCGGGGTTACAGGAGTGGGAAACGAGGAAGGCAATGTCGAGGATGGTGCTGCCGCTGAGATTGATACGGCAGTTCTAGTTCCTCCTGTCATGGCGTGTGATGATTCTGAACGGTCCTCGGCATTTTTCGATGCAAGATCAGACGCTGCTGCTGTTGCGACAAGGCGAGAAGCTGAAGCGGATTCGCCAGGGTCGTCCTCGACAATTGGCTCGGCTGTTGGGCGATCCTTGCCAGGTGCCATGTTCGTGTAGAGTACCCCAGGGCAAAACAGAAGGTCAGACAAACGCGCAAAAGAGTAAATCGATACAGTCAATTGTTGCGGTCCCGTCTTATTGGGAACTACCTTCAACCGCTCTAGTTGCCAATGACCACGAGATAGGAATAGTCGCCCACGAATCGCGAGCATGCTACTCTAAGAGATGAACGACGAAGCGAAAACTAATTCGTACTCGACGAAACTGCAGAGCGCTTTCGATCGCAAGTGCTTGATTGCCTGCAGCTATAGCGAGAGTTGGTGTTGTGGAGCCATGGATGGATGAGTAGTCACCCGAGAACAATAAAATAGCATTGAATGGATTTGTTGTTGGACTTACATGCACAACCATACTGACTTGAATCAACTTGAGCCCGAATTGTACTGTAACGGAGTGGGGATGTTTGCGAAGTTACAACGCATTCCCCTGAATCTCCCTCCTTTTCACCTGCCATCTCTGTAATTTCGCGAAGTACTGTACCAGATCGCCGAATCTGTCCACAACGCACGACTCCCTTCTGGGTGCACAATTCCATCAATCGACGGTCCATTCCTACCTGAAGAGCCCACTGACGGCTGAGATTCTTTTTCGCTCGTCAAGCACGACAAACACTGCGAGTGGGCTTGCTGACTTGCGACCAACAATCGAGGCTACGGCTCAGCTTTCGGTTTCATTTCCCTGCTCCTGATCAGGCCTCTCGATGTCCCCGAAGGGCCCCCTGCAGAATCCGAGTTAGTCGTGCAACCAACTCGTCCAAGCTGGGTAACCCAAAAAATGTTGACTGTTTTTGCATGGCAGTTTCGGCGGTTTCCCGGCATGTGCAGGGTTTCAAGGTCGCGTTCACTTCTTCGTAAAGCACTGAACTTTCCCTTTCACCAATTTCATCTACAAGTGCTCGGATGTTATTATGTGCTAATAATAATAATAATAATAATACTAATAATAATAATAATAATAATAATAATAACCCCAAACGATTGACTACAAGTGCAACCGCCACTTCACCAATTTATTGCCTACTAAAAAAAATAAAAAAAATAAAAGCCCAACCCACAGTTACAAATGCCCCACTTATATGAAGCACAGAGGCGTGGTCCAGGAAAGCACGTTTTCCCCAACCAAACCTCTTTGGGGGAACGAGTTTGGCTGTGAGAGGCTTCATTGGGGGGAACGAGTTTGGCTGAAAGGGACTCGGTTGAGGGAAATAAGTTTTGTTCAGAGAGGCCTGGTTGGGGGAAATTAGTTTGGTTCAGAGAGGCTTGGTTGGGGGTAACAAGTTTGAGTTAGAGAGGCTTGGTTGGGGAAGCTGCAACATCCAATCAGGGTCTGGCGCGCTTGCCGAAAACCCAAATGGGCCACTTGGGATTTCGGGAGCGGTTTTGCCCGAATCCCTCCCTCAACGGAGAAGAGGGGTTTCTAGCTGGGAAACCAGGCCTTACAGACGGATGTTTTAGGGCGATACATTCCACTACTCGGAAATCGGACGTGGAATGTTGTTGCCTAGTCTGCTAGTGGACGTGTACTTCAAATCTGGGTGCGTAGAAATCAGGGTAAGACACAAAAAAGCACCCTGTCTTACTAGAGCAAGCAGAAAAATTACCCGGATATCTCTGCTTCAAACGGTCCTGCGCGTGGGTGAGATGCTCTCTGAGTCAGAAAGTTAAAATAACGATCTAAAGTGGTTGGGAAGGGTTTCGAGCGAAAAACGTACGCCGGGGACACGCCCTCAGCTCTCAACTTGGCTGGGCTTTGCTCAGCTCGGCTTCAACTCCCCTCCTTTCCCTAATCTCCTTGCCTCAACCTTGCCAGAAGATCCTGGGGAATGCCGTGTGTTAGCGAGCTTCCGAAGCCACTGAAGCACTTCATCATAGTACACTGGTAGCGTCAGTGTTAGCGTGCTGACAGGAGGAAAGAGATTTCAACGAGAGAAGCGAGGGGCTGCGTGAACGCGAGGAGACGAAAATCGTGAGTTAGGATAGGGCGCGTTGAAAGGTCTACGCGGAGTGCTTGCTCCTCCAGCTCCTGCGTTGGCTGGAGTTGCGGTTCTTGTATGGTACCCTTACCTAGACGTTTCCGTGAGGGGTGAGGTCACGTAAACTAGTGGCGTATCGTCCAACAAGTGACTGGTGTTCTTTAGGACGTCGAACAGCCTCTCCTAACGTGTTCTTCCCACCGTCGTGAAGCAGCGCCGTTAGTGAGACGCGACGACATTATTGAGACGCGACGTCGTTTTTGAGACTCGACGACGACTTGATTATGACGCGACGACGTTCCGTAGTCCAACAACCCATCCGCTCCTCCTTGCGAAAAGGAACGTCATTTACCTACTAGCTCATGTGAAATCCGGCCGGTACCCGTTGTCACTCACACCATGACGCTACAGCATCGTTCTCGTTACAGTCAGTCTCGGTACCCGTTGTCGCTCCTCTGCTGCTGCTCTCTTCTCATCCTCGGCTCAGTCTCATCTTCCAACGCCGTCCTCGCCCCATCAAAGAATCTCGAGCAGCAGCAGAGAGCACCACAGCAGCAGAGAGGACCCGCTGTACAACAGCAACTGCTAGAGCCGTTAGAGCCTAGCTCCCAGCACCAGCTCCTGAGGGAACGGGCCCGGTCGTTACGGGAGAGGCTGGATGCGGAAAGGACGAACCGCAAATCGTCCAAGGTCGCCACCAGGCCGACCTTGAGTCAACTCAAGGTTCGTTGCCGGCCTCTTGGTCATTTGCCTCCAATTTTGAGGCGCCTCAAAACTAGACTCCAATTCCGGCACTCGCCTTTCGCCTCTATTGTCCGCATAGCTCTCTAACGTCTCGCCATTCTTCTCTTGTCTTTTCTCCTTGTTCATCAATCCCCCGCACCGCACCTCCCCCTTCCCTCGTTCCTGCCTGGATGCTGCCACGTCAGCAGTCCCTTACTGAGGCATTTCATAGCGACGATTGGTGCAGAGGCCTTGCGGATGGCCACCACGCAGACCCCTTGTCCAGCCCTCCATACAGGTAGAGGCAGGCCGAAAGCGTAGAAATGAGGCTTGGAACAATATTCAAGATTCAACCACTTGGACATGTTCGCATCCATCCATTGGCTTCACAGTGACATCATGCTTGAGTCGACTCGAATGTAATCTTGTGTCGTGGTTACATCCGTCTGTCGAGCTGTTTCGCAGTGAGATTTCTCAACCACGCCTAGATGCTCGGCTTCTTTTGAGGCGCCTCATGAACCAACCACGCCTAGATGATCGGCTTTTGAATCCCAAGGCCCCTTCAATGTCTCTTTACCTTCAATTTCTCTTTACCTTCAATTTCTCTTTACCTTTTTCTTGCGCGCTCCTCATCCCCCACACCCCTCCTCTCCCCTCCTGTTCTCATCCTCCCCTCCTCTCCCCTCCTGTTCTCATCCTCCCCTCCTCTCCCCTCCTGTTCTCATCCTCCCCTCCTCTCCCCTCCTGTTCTCATCCTCCCCTCCTCTCCCCTCCTGTTCTCATCCTCCCCTCCTCTCCCCTCCTGTTCTCATCCTCCCCTCCTCTCCTCCTCACTCTCCCCGTCTCCCGCGTCCCAGTGTCTACTTCCGCTGCTCCAGCCAGGCTCTCGCCGCTCTGCACCACTGTCCACCACACACGCTGTTCGCTGAGGCAGGACTGGGGGAGGTAGCCCTGGGGAAAGCCGGAGAGGAGGAGGGGAAGGAGGGCGCGTGTGTCCCTGAGCATGAGTTTCGGCGGGTTGCACAGTGGAGGAAAGGCGGTGTCAGCATGAGCGAGGGTGACGCCAGCTCCGCCTATCCGTCCGGCGTTCACCGGGTGTCTCTGCAGGAGGTGCTTCCTGTGAGCCGGGCAGTGGGATTGAAGGCGGAACAGGCAGGAGCGGCAGGGGCAGGAGGGGCAGGAGCGGCAGGGGCAGGAGGGGCAGGAGGGGAAGGAGGGGCAGTGGGAGCGCCAGAGCAAGCAGGAGGTGCGGTTTCACTTCAGCCCTACTCTCCCTCCTCCCCACCGTCCTCCCCTCCGCCCGACCCACAAGCCCTTGTCGAGCTCAACGCGCTCCTCGCGTTCAAGTCCTCCGTACTCGTATTCAACGACCTTCTGGCATCCTGGACCGTGCCCCGCTCCGCCACCAATACCACCGCCGACCCCTACCTCTTCCTCTGCACCTGGCGCTTCGTCACCTGCTCCCCTGCCCGCCCCGGTGTGGCTCAGCGAGTGGTGGGGCTCAGCTTCACCTGGTTCGGCCCGGACCTGGACCAGACGCCCGTGCTCATGCTCACCCGCAGCTCCGTGGTGCAGGAGAGTTTCAGCAGTGGCGGTGGGGGGAGCGGGGATGGCACTGGTGGTGGTGATGTCGGTGGTAGCAGCAGCAGCAGCAGCAGCAGCAGCAGCAGCAGCAGCAGCATCCCCAGTCTCCCCAGTCTCCCCAGCCTGCCGCTCGTCCCGCAGCAATTCTCCTCCCTCACTGCCCTCACCAACCTCACCCTCCACAGCAACCGCGACTTCCGAGAAATGGCCGGGCTCCTAGGCGGATTCCCCTCCCACCTCGCCTCCTGCTCCTCCCTCCAAGTGCTCTCCCTCTCGGGCCACAGGCTTATAGGCCCCCTCGCAGACTCCGTCTCCCTCTTCTCCAACCTTCGGCACTTGGAGCTGTCCTATAATTTATTGTCTGGTCCGTTGCCTACTGCCCTGGCCTCCCTTTCCCGCCTCACGAACCTCAACCTGAACGGGAACAATTTCTCAGGGGAAATTCCCCTGCAGATCTCCCGGCTCGGGAAAACCCTCGTGAACCTGAACCTCGGGCAGAACTCCCTTTCGGGCAGCCTGCCCTCCGAGCTCGGGCAGCTAACAAACCTCGGGAACGGCCCCTTCACCTTCCCATACCCGGGCCTCTACCTCCAACGAAACGTTTTTTCTGGTCCGCTGCCCGAATCCCTCTCCTCCCTCACTTCCCTTCAATCCCTAGACCTCTCTTTCAACAGCCTGTCTGGCTCTATCCCCCAGACAGGCGCGTTCCTCACCTCCTTAACCAATCTCATCCTCCTTGACCTAACCAGCAACCAGCTCTCAGGTCCCTTGCCTCTGCAAAACGGCTGTGGCCTTTCCATGTTCCTCCTCAAGCTTGGCTCCAACAGGTTCACAGGCGGGGTTCCTGCAGACCTCTCGTCCTGCTACATCCTTTACTCCCTTGACGTGTCTAGCAACCTGCTGTCGGGGCGCCTGCCTTCTGGGTTCTTTGCGTCCCTGGCGGCAACTTCAGTGGGAGAAATTAGCCTGGCGAACAATAGCTTCGAGGGGAATTTACCCTCGGAGGTGGGCGGCATTGTGTCGCTTTTTCTGCTGGACGCTAGCAGCAACCGACTTTCCGGGAAGCTTCCGGAGCTCAAATCCTGCCCATCAATCATTTCCCTGGCGAACAATTCCTTCTCGGGCACTATTCCGGCAGGGCTCATCTGCCCGCTCTTAACAAACCTAGATCTGAGCAACAACTCGCTGTCCGGGGACCTGCCCGAAATTCTTCTGGGTAGCGCCAGCCGAGCCAAAAAAACCCCACCAGCATCACCAGCAGCAGCAGCAGCAATACCATCAGCAGCAGCAGCAGCAGCAGCACTTCAGCAGGTACCAGACTTTCAATACCTTTCCCTAAGCTACAACCGGCTCACCGGCCCTCTTCCCCTCACAGGCAAATGCTCCAATTTCTCCACCCTCCTCCTCGACTCTAACCTATTCTCCGGCCCTCTCCACCTCCCCTCCCTCTCCCCCTGCCCTAGACTCCAGACCTTCAACGCCTCCCACAACTCCCTTACAGGCACCCTCGATACAGTCACATCCCAGCTTCTCACCTCCCCCATTTTCACCCTCGGCCTAGCAGGAAACCTCCTGGAAGGTCCCATTCCAGCCGCCATCAGAAATCTGACGTCAGCGCGGGTTATAGACCTCTCAGATAATCAAGTCTCGGGTCCCCTCCCACTGGCACTTAGCTCCCTGGAGCTCCTCCGCTTGCTAAGCGTCAGTGGGAACAACCTTTCCTCTTCCCTCCCGTCAGACCTTGGTTCACTCTCCCTTCTCACCTATCTTGACGTCAGCAGGAACGCCTTTTCCGGCCCAATTCCCCCCCAGCTCGCCCCTCCGTTCCTCCACCACCTCCATTACCTTAACCTCTCCCGAAACCAGTTCTCCAGCTCCATCCCGTATGGCTTCTCCACCAGTAATACCTCAGCCACAGCCCTCGATTTCTCCTACAACACTCTCTCCGGCCCGATTCCCTTGAACACCACCACCACTGCCACCACTGGCACCCCCCTCCCTCCATCCGCGTTACAAGGCAACCCGGATCTCTGCGGGGGGTTCGGGTACGCTCCCTGCCCCGCCCCTGCTTACGACAGCACGGGGGGGCTGTCGGCAGGGGGGATTGCGGGGATTGCAGTGGGGTGCGCAGCGTTCTTCACGGTGGCGCTGCTGCTGCTGTGGGCGTGGCTGTTTGCGCGGCGGCAGCGGCTGCAGAGCCTGGACGGCGGCACGATGCTGGTGTTTGAGAAGCTGAGCTTTAAGATGACGGTGCATGACGTGGTGGACGCCACGGAGGACTTCAGCAACAAGTTCCTGCTGGGGAGGGGAGGCTTTGGATCCGTGTACAGGTGAGAGAGTGCTGCAGGTGCGGTAACAAAGGGGCGGTAACAAAGGGGTGGTAACATGTGGTGGTAACATGTGGTGGTAAGAAGGGCACTACGCCAGTGTTTGGGAAGCTGAGCCTCAAGATGACTGCGACTGGTGTGGTGGATGCCACTGAGGATTTTAGCAACAAGTTCGATCCTGCTGGGACAAGGGGGGTTCGGTTCTGTCTACAGTTGTGGTTACGACCCTAATCAAAATCGGTTCTGTCTACAGTTGTGGTTACGACCCTAATCAAAATCGGTTCTGTCTGCAGGTGAGAACTGGCTGGTTACCGGTGGGTGGTGGTGGGTGGTGAGTGGTAGCAGTTGGTAACAAGTGGTAAGAAGGGGCAGGATGCTGGTGTTTGAGAAGCTGGGCTTCTAGATGACGGTGAATGATGTGGTGGATACCACGGAGGCCTCTAGCAAGGAAGGGGAAGCATTGGCTCCGTGTACAGGTGAGGGTGATACAGGTGAGAGTGATACAGGTGTGATGTGGTACAGGTGTGATGTAGTACAGGTGTGATGTGGTACCATCAATTCCTCCTTCCCCCCTGCCGCATTTCAATTCCCCCCTGCCACATTCCCATCCCCCCTGCCGCATCCATTCTCCCTGCCCCATCCCACCCCCCTGCCCTTGCCCCTGCCGCTTCCCCTGCCCCATCCCCCTACGCAAGGCCACACTCCAGGACGGCAGGACGGTGGCCATCAAGAGCCTGGCCCTGGGTAGCAGCCAGGGGCAGAGGGAGTTTAAGGCCGAGATGAACACCCTCGGCAACGTGCGCCACCGCAACCTAGTCGTCCCTTCCCTCCCCCCTGCTTCCCCCTTCTCAACCCTGCTGTCGCATCCCCCCTACACAGGGCCACACTTCAAGACGGCAGGACGGTGGCCATCAAGCGTCTAGCCCTGGGCAGCAGCCAGGGGCAGCGGGAATTCGAAGCCGAGATGAACACCCTCGGCAACGTGCGCCACCGCAACCTAGTCGTCCTAGTAGCCGCATACCTCTCCCCGCCGCCCGCCCAGGAGCGCCTTCTAATCTACGACTACCTCTCAGGAGGCTCCTTAGACCAGGTCTTAGCCCGCGAGATGGGTAAAGACTCGCCCATGCGAAGCTGGGCTGTAAGGAGGAACATCTTAGAGGGTACGGCTCGGGCGATGAAGTACCTTCACCAGGACTGCACCCCGGGGATCATTCACAGGGATATGAAGCCCGCTAATATCCTCTTAGACCAGAATATGGAGGCGAAAGTGGCGGATTTTGGGCTGGCGAGGGAGGCGGATGCGAGCCGGACGCACATGAGCACGAGCGTGTTTGGGACGGTGGGGTATTTGGCGCCCGAGTACTCGCAGCGGGGGCGGTTGTCGTTCAAGAGCGACGTGTTTGCGTTCGGCGTGCTCGTGCTGCAAGTGATTACCGGGAAGCAGCCCACGGATGGTGACGTGGCGGAACGAGGTCTAGCGAGGTAAGATGATGATGACTGGATGTAGCAGGGCAGGGCGTGCTTGTTTATGTGCGATGTTTGAGAGCAGGGGAGGCGGAGGGGAGGCGGATGGGAGGCGGACGCGAGCCGGACGCACATGAGCACGAGTGTGTTTGGGACGGTGGGGTATTTGGCGCCCGAGTACTCGCAGCGGGAGAGGTTGTCGTTCAAGAGCGACGAGTTTGCGTTCGGCGTGCTCGTGCTGCAAGTGATGATGAGGAAGCAGCCGACGGATGGTGACATGGCGGAGCGAGGCCTTGCCAGGTAGGATGATGACGTGGCGGAATGGGGGCTTGCCTGGTGGGGTGATGACGTGGAGGAACGAAGCTTGCGAGTGGATGGTGGCGGACTATAGGAGCAGTTGGCTTCTTCTGTCGAAGTCTTGTTGGTTGTGGAGACTGTTACTCTAGCCTTTCTGAATCTCAACCCCCCTCCTGCCATTTCCTCCCGCCCCCTCTCCCTCCTTCCACCCCTCCCTGCCCTTCCTAATCACCAGGTGGGTGGGCATGCACACGGTGGCCTCGTTTGTTGATGACAGGATCGACGACGCTTTGCTGTGCGAGGATGAGATCATGGGAGTCGTGACCCTCGCGCTGCAGTGCACGCAGACTGTGCCTGCTGACCAGACCATCACATCCTGCTTCCCTCCCCTCTCCCCCCCCCCTCCCCCCCCCCCCCCACACTTTTATCGCCTCTCCTTTTCCCTCCCTTGGCACCAGGTGGGCGGGCATGCACACCATGGCTTCATTCGTGGACGACCGGATTGACGACGCGCTGGTGTACGAGGACGAGATCATGGGCGTGGTCACCCTCCTCTCTTCATATACGTCTCTCCCCCCCCTCTCCCCACCCACCCCTAAACCCCCTCACCCATGTCACCAGGTGGGTGGGCATGCACACTGTAGCCTCGTTCGTCGACGAGAGGATCGACGACGCCTTGCTGTACGAGGACGAGATCATGGGCGTTGTGACCCTTGCGCTGCAGTGCACGCAGACTGTGCCCGCAGACCGGCCCACCATGGCGGAAGCCCTGGAGGTGCTGGAGAACCTGCATGCCTTTGCCAAGGGCATCCGCATGGGGATGGATGCCAAGGAGGTGGAGTGAGGGGGGTGTATGACTTTAGAGTTAAGAGGGCACAATAGTGGGGGGGCCACTGGAGGTGCTGGAGAACCTGCACGCGTTTGCCAAGGGGATTCGCATGGGGATGGATGCCGAGGTGGAGTGAGGGTAGGAGGTTGGGGGATAAGAGGTGTTTTGGGGAGGTGGAATGAGGGGGGTGTGTGACTAGAAAGTTAGAGGGCACAATAGTGGGAGAGGAGACGTCCGTCCTCGCGCCGCAGTGCACGCAGACTGTGCCTGCTGATAGCCCCACCATGGCAGAGCCGTGGAGGTGCTGGAGAACCTGCACGCCTTGGCTAACGGGATTCGCATGGGGATGGATGCGAAGGAGGAGGAGTGAGGGGGGTGTATGACTTGAAGTCAGAGGGCAATGTAGGGGGTGAATTGCTGGAAGTTAGAGGGCACAATTGCGGGGGAGGTCTTGGCGCTCGAGGGCACATTAGTGGGGAAGGTCTTGGTAGGTACTGCAGTGCACTCAGACTGTGCCCGTGGCTAAACGGTGGAAGGCAAACAAGCCGGCGCTGGCGGGGAACGCTGTGTGTGTGTCTTGTCTGCACATCCCAAACGCTGATGTCTGCCAGGGATCCGCATCTGCAAGAGCCCCCACCTGCTATTGATCTGTGTTTGTGTATAATAGCCTGTAATTCTCTCTTCCCTCTTCTCTCTCTCCCCCCCCCCCCCCCCCCCCACTCCCCCCCCCACATGATTTTATACATTGATGCTAATATACCTTGCTCGAGCTAGGAACATTGGTTTTTATAAGGGTGGATTCCTATGACCTCGCGTCCCACCACCTCACGTCAGACTCATGTGGTCCTGCGCGGTGCACAGGCTTGATCTAGCTGTTAAACAAGCTAGATAAGGAGAGGAGGATGTCAAACATGTTTAGTTATCATGCTTGTATAGACTGTATAGGGTTATCTTCTAGAGAGTACAACATTTAGGTATATGTTTGTGTACTCTCTCTCACTATTCATCAATTTCACTGTTTGTTATGGTATCACGCGTAGGTAGGATCCCCCCCCCCCCCCTGTTAAAATTATATAAGTTATAATTTATATAGGCTTGGTAGGTTGTTACTGAACCTTTCTGTAGGGGGTACAAACCCCTCCTTGTACTCCCCTCTCTTCTAATCCAACATCTTTTCTCTCCTCAACTTTCCTAGCACCTAAAACCTCTCGCCATTCTCATGGCTCCTCCTAGCTCCTAGCTAAACCTTGTGCCATTCTATGGCTTCCTAGCTAAGCTAGTTTCTGACATGGTATCAGAGCAGTTCGTTCCGTGTGGGCCTGCTCCTCGCGTTTCCGCTGCGTGCTCGTTTCTCTCTCTATCTCGCGCTGCCATGGCGGCCGCGTCAAGCTGCTGTGGCCGCGTCGTCGTGCCGCGGCGCCGCTGTCGACGTCCATGGCGCCCGCGTCCAGCTGCTGTGGCCGCGCCGTCGTGCCGCAGCTCCGCCGTCGCGTCAAGTTGCTGTCGCGACGTGACGGCGCCGTCACGCTGCCGCGGCGTCTACGCGACAGCGCGCAGTCGGCGTACCAGCGACGTCGTGCTGCCGTCGCAGCGTCGACGCCCCGCTGCGGCATCGACGCCGCTCCATGACGGCGTCGTCGGGCTGCAGCCGGCCGCGTGACGCTTGTGGCGCCGCTAGACCGGCCGCCCGCATGTCAGCCTGTGGCGCCGCCCCCCCCCCCCACCCCCCCTCCTTCCCCTGCGCCCTCTTCCATTCCGCAGACGACGGCTGACTCCCGCCGGCCGTCCCACAGTCGCGGGGCCAGGCCACGTCACCGAGAGGTGCGGGTGCCGCCGCCGCTGCCGCTGTTGTCGAAGCCGCCGCCGCCGCCGCTGTCGCCGCTTGCGTCGGGGCCACGCAGCCGCACGCCGCCGCCGCCGCCGCTGTCGACACTGCCGCCGCTGCCGCCGTCGCCGCCGCAGCCCCTGCGGTCGACGTCGCCGCCTCACGCGCCGTGGGGTCGACCGACCTAGAGTCGCTGTCACTGTGGCTGGAATGGGGGTGCTAGGTTAGGGGGTGTGGGTGTGTGTGGGTGTGTGACTACCAAGCCTAGGGGGTGTGTTAAAATTATATAAGTTATAATTTATATAGGCTTGGTAGGTTGTTACTGAACCTTTCTGTAGGGGGTACAAACCCCTCCTTGTACTCCCCTCTCTTCTAATCCAACATCTTTTCTCTCCTCAACTTTCCTAGCACCTAAAACCTCTCGCCATTCTCATGGCTCCTCCTAGCTCCTAGCTAAACCTTGTGCCATTCTATGGCTTCCTAGCTAAGCTAGTTTCTGACACCCCCCCCCCCCCTCACGCTTCCGCTCGCCCCCTAGCTGGGCCCCGTCGTGCTCCTAGCCCCGTCGCGACCCTCCCTAGCCCCGTCGCGACCCTCCCTAGCCCCGTCGCGCCCCTTCCTGGGCCCCATTGCGCCCCTTTCTGGGCCCCGTCGCGCTCCTCCCAGGCCTCGTAGCGCCCCTCCTGGGCCCCATTGCGCTCCTCCCAGGCCCCGTCGCGCCCCTTCCAGGGCTTCGTAGCGCCCCTCCAGGCCCCGTCGCGCCCCTTTCAGGGCTTCGTAGCGCCCCTCCAGGCCCCGTCGCGCCCCTTTCAGGGCTTCGTAGCGCCCCTCCAGGCCCCGTCGCGCCCCTTCCAGGGCCTGGTAGCGCCCCTCCAGGGCCCCGTCGCGCTCCTCCCAGGCCCCGTAGCGCCCCTCCTGGGCCCCATTGCGCTCCTCCCAGGCCCCGTCGCGCCCCTCCCTAGCCCAGTCGCGCTCCTCCCAGGCCCCGTAGCGCCCCTCCTGGGCCCCATTGCGCTCCCCCCAGGCCCTGTCGCGCCCCTACCTGGGCTTGGTAACGCCCCTCCAGGCCCCGTCGCGCCCCTACCCATCCCCGTCGCCCCTGCTCGGCCCCGTCGCCCCTGCTCGGCCCCGTCGCCCCTGCTCGGCCCCGTCGCCCCTGCTCGGCCCCGTCGCCCCTGCTCGGCCCCGTCGCGGCCTATCGGCCGCGTGGCGCCCGCCCGGCCCCTGTCGCGGCTGCCCGGCCCCTGTCGCACCTGCCCGGCCCCTGCTCGCCCGCCCGGCCTCGTCGCCCCTGCCCGGCCCTGCTGTGGCCTGCCCGGGCCCCGTCCCTGCCGCCCGGCCCCGTCGCCGCCGCCCGGCCCCGTCGCAGCCGCCCGGCCACGTCGCAGCCGCCCGGCCACGTCGCAGCCGCCCGGCCACGTCGCAGCCGCCCGGCCACGTCGCAGCCGCCCGGCCACGTCGCAGCCGCCCGGCCCCGTCGCCCCTGCCCGGCCCTGCTGTGTCCGGCCAGGCCTCGTCCCTGCCGCCCGGCCCCGTCGCAGCCGCCCGGCCCCGTCGCAGCCGCCCGGCCACGTCGCAGCCGCCCGGCCTTGTCGCTGCCGCCCGGCCCCGTCGCCGCCGCCCGGCCCCGTCGCAGCCGCCCGGCCCCGTCGCCGCCGCCCGGCCTTGTCGTGCCTGCCCGGCCCCGACGCACCTGCCCCGGCCCTCCATACTTCCTAGTACTGTCCCCCGTTCCCCGCACCACTTTGCACCCTCCTGCACTTTCCTGCCCCGCCTTGCATCGCATTGCACCTCACTGGATCGCACTGACCGCACTGCACCGCACTGCACCGCACTGCACCGCACTGCACCGCACTGCATCGCACTGCACCGCACTGGACCGCACTGCACCGCACTGCATCGCACTGCACCGCACTGCACTGTCCTCCACTGCCCCTCATGGCTGCTGAGCTTCGTTTTGATGTTGAGGGTCAGCCTCTGGAGTTCGAGGCGTGGTTGGCTGACCTTCGCCGCCACCTCACTGGCCAGCGGCAGGACGGCCACCCGCTTTCTGCACACCTAGACGGTATGCTCCCCTGCCCTGACCCCCCTGCTGTGCTGCCCGCTGATCCCACGCCCGCTGAGCGCGAGTCCACTGCCGCTGCTGCCCTTGCCCGCTCTGTCTGGCTTTCCCGCGATGCCCTTGCTCAGCTCGCCATTAGCAATGCCCTCCCCCCCACTGAGCGCCCTCGCTTTAGAACCATTCCTACCGCCCAGGCCTACCTCGATGCTGTCATCAAGCGCTATTCTACCCCTCCTGCTGCCTCAGTGGGTCGCCTGATCCTTCCCCTGCTCTTTCCTGACCTGGCGTCTTTCCCCACTGTCTCTGACCTCGCTGCCCACCTGCGCTCGATAGATGAGGCCTGGCGCGCTGCCTGCACTGATGCTCAGCTTAGAGTCCACCAGCCTCCCATGACCTCTACCCTCTACCTCCTTGCCACCCGCCTACCTGACCGCCTTGCCGCCGCCCGCGACCAGTTCCTTAGCATCCACCCTGCTGCTCTCACCCTCACCGACTTTGTTGACACCCTGACTGCCATAGAGACTCGTCACCGCTCCATAGCCCTGGCGAGCGGTACAGTACCGGTCCCTATCTTTCAGGGTTGTGCCCCCGCTCAGTGTACCTTCTCCGACGGCTCTGTCGCTGTGGCTGAGACTGCTGCTGCAGTGCAGTCCCGCTCGGCGAAGGGCCGCCGCCCCAAGGTTGGGAGCGGCGGAGGCGGCGGGGGTGCGGGTGGGGGTAGTGGTGGAGGCGGGTCGTCCGGTGCCAGTGCGGACGTGGGGACCCTGCCCGGTCCAGCTGCCCCGCTGCCTCCACAGTTGCAGCAGCCGCAGCAGCAGCAGTCGCCGCAGCCGCAGCCTTCGCAGCAGCCGCAGCAGCCGCCGCAGACGAGGCAGGCGAGTACTCTCCCACCTGGGTGGCCTGGAGCTGGTGGTGGTCGTGCGCGTGGTGGTGCACCGGGTGGTGGTTCTGGAGGCGGGCCCTGTCAGTACCAGATCCAGACGGGTCCTCGCCGCGGCTTCGTTTGCGGTAAGATCGGTCATTCTACTGCTCGCTGTTTTCGTCGCCTGGACGACCTGTTCCGCCAGCGCTTTGGCCCGGCGCCCGACCTCCCGGACTGGCACAGCTTGCTTAGGCGTAGCGTTAGGATTTTTGACTTGGACATGGATGCCATTGTAGCGGCCTTGCATGTGATGTATGCTGATGACTCTAGTGTGCTTCCCTCTTATTACCCCGTGTTGCCTAGTGTAGCGGTGCCTAGCGTAGACTCCCCTGCTGCGTCAGGCGTAGGATCTCCTGCTTTGCTTAGCCTTGGTGCTTCCACCGCTTCACTGCTGCCTCGCGCGACTGCTGCGCTTTCCTTCACCTTGGACTCTGGCGCCTCCCGGTGTTTCTTCCGCGACTCCACGACGCTGACGCCGCTGCCTGCTCCCGCTGCAGTTACTCTTGCTGACCCCTCCGGTGGTCCCGTCGTTGCCCGCAGTTCCACCTCCCTTCCCTGTCCGGCGGTTCCTTCGGGCACTCTCACAGGTCTGCATATCCCCTCGTTCTCCAGGAACCTAGTTGGTGTCGGCTGCCTCCAGGACCTTGGCGTCACCACTACGTTCCCTGGTCACGAGCGGTATGCTGTCTATACCGAGGCCGCCACTGGTGCCCCCCTTACCACTTTCCCCCGGGACCCGGTGTCCGGCCTGTTCACACTTGACACCGCGCCGTCCCCGGCTGGGTCTTCCCCCCCGGTAGTTGCGTCCACCCAGGTTGCAGCCGCGTGCTCCTGTCGGTCCCTCACTCACCCGACTCTCCTTTGGCACCACCGCCTTGGTCACCCTGCACTCCCACGTCTGCGTCACATGTCCCAGCACGGTCTCGTCCTTGGTCTCCCCGGTTCGTTCCCCGAGTTTCCCTCCTCCCCCGCCCCACCGTGCACGCCTTGTGTCGAGGGCCGGCTCCGCAGTGCCCCTCACTCCTCCTCTTTTCCCCCTACCACCGCACCACTGCAGACTCTGCACATGGACGTCTGGGGCCCAGCCCCGGTCCATGGGCCGCGTCGCGAGCGCTTCTTCCTAGTGCTTGTCGACGACTTCACGCGCTACACCACCGTCTTCCCCCTGGAGCGGAAGGCCGACGTGCCTGACGTTCTCATCCC